GCGCATTCATAACTGGACAACCTAATAAATCATTTAATAGCTCATTCATAGACATTCATAGATCATTCATAGATCATTCATAGATCATTCATAGATCATTTATAGACATTCATAGATCCTTCATAGATCATTCATAGACATTCATAGATCCTTCATAGATCATTCATAGACATTCATAGATCATTCATAGACATTCATAGATCATTCATAGACATTCATAGATCATTCATAGATCATTCATAGATCATTCATAGACATTCATAGATCATTCATAGATCATTCATAGACATTCATAGATCATTCATAGATCATTCATAGATCATTCATGGATCATCCATAGATCCTTCATAGACATTCATAGATCCTTCATAGATCCTTCATAGATCATTTATAAATAAATAAATCAATTATAGTTTATTTGATTCCAGAAAAATGCGTTCTATCGTACTTTTTGGCTTGCTAGCTGTGTGTATTTCGGGAGCACCCAGGGAAAAACGTTTCGCCGCACTCGGATTGACCACCACAGGCCTTGGTGGAACGACAGGATGTGTGGTGACGGTGAGTTAAAGATTTTCTCGAGAAAAAAACCTCAAAGTATCCTTAGTAATCGGTTTTCAAAGAGAAATTCGGGGGAAAACTATCGATCTTTCCTTTCGATTCACTTGGAATCGAGTCAAAATTCAATGAAAAATGTGAAAACGGTGACCAAAAAGCTATTGATTCTAAGCTACCATAGTCTGGCCTGGTTTTTTCAGCAATATAGGCCTTTTTTTTGTACTTTTTCGTCCACCATTCTTTGGATTTTTGTCTAAAAATCAGTCTAAAAGTTTGGTTCTGTTTGGTTTTGTTTTGAAATCTTCGAAATTACAAAGAAAGTACAGTCGAGTCGGGAAAGAAAAAACCAGGCCCGACTACGGTAGTGTAGAATGAATAGCTTTTTGGTCACCGTTTCCACATTTTTTTATTGAATTTTGACCCGATTCCAAGTGAATCGAAAGGAAAGATCGATAGTTGAAGATCAAAGTTGAAAAAAGATTACTGTTTCTACCAAATTGGTTATATTTTCGAATTTTAAGGATAACGTCTTGTACGCGAATGGCTTTAAGCAACGCGAGTTGAGTGAAAGTGAAATGTCGGAGTTGGAGCAATATCGTGAACAATTGGCCGATTATAAAAAGGTGAATTCACTGAAAAGTACAGTATTTTGATTAGAAATCCTTTAGAAAGGAAATCCTTTAGAAAGGAAATCCTTTAGAAAGGAAAGCCTTTAGAAACAAAAGCCTTTTTTAAATGCCTAATAAAATAGCCTTTTAGCAAGTGAAGAGTGCGCTTGAGAAGAAAAGGAATTCGATGAAGAAGCGATTTTCGGGAAATGACAGTAAGTTAAGGGAATTGTTGAAAATATTAAGAAAATATTAAGAAAACATTAAGAAAACTATGAGATTTCTATAGGAAAATGATATAAGATCTAAATCGTTCCAATCTGGTTCCAATATGGTTCCAATATGGCTCCAATATGGCTCCAATATGGCTCCAATATGGTTCTACTATAAGAATACTATAAGATTAGTAGAATTACTGTAGTTTAAGATAATTATAGTTTTATATGATGATTAGATTTAACCGAAGCTACCAAAGCTACCAAAGCTATCAGTCACCCAATATACTTTGTGCTTATGGTCAAATGCTTTCGGGTAAACGAAAAATGAGTCCAATGTGCTCTAGCTAGTGAGGGTTTAATGATGAGCACAAAGTACACAAGATCTCCAGTACAAGATCTCCAGTACAAGATCTTCAGTACAAGATCTTTAGTACAAGATCTCCAGTACAAGATCTCCAGTACAAGATCCTTCAGTACAAGATCTCCAGTACAAGATCTTCAGTACAAGATCTCCAGTACAAGATCTTCAGTACAAGATCTTCAGTACAAGATCTCCAGTACAAGCCCTCCAGTACAAGATCTCCAATACAATCCCTCCAGTACAAGATCTTTAATACAAGATCTTCAGTACAAGATCTCCAGTACATTGTACTTTTTAGTGACTCGCGATGATGAGAATGAGGTGGCGAAAGATGAATCGTTGAAAGCACCTAAGAAACCATCTTTCTGCAAAGAAGAGGACACAACTCAGTACATTTTTGACGGTTGTATGGTTCAGGTTTGTTATCTTGAAGGCTAGAAAGAGAGTTATCTTCTAAATCTTTTATCTTTTAGAGTTATCTTCTAAAATGAAACTATTTAATGCAAAATATCCTCATCTTTACCGAAAGTTTTCATTCGATTTGACAATTTTTAACTAAACTTTGTGATTCTCTGTGATTTTCTCATCTCATTGAATCTGGGATGATTGAATGGAAACTGCCGGTGAGATTACGGTAGTCTAGAAGATGTTTCAGAAAATAAATCACTCTATTCAGTTGACTTTTTTAGAACAACAAAGTCTATATTGGGCGCGAGTACGCTAGGGATCTAACAACAGATGAAGTCAAGCAACTCAAGGTAAAACTTTCTGATCAAACTAATGACCTTTCTTCCTTCTCTTTCTTCTTTCTCTTCCTTCCTCTCTCTTCTCCTTTCTTCCTTCTCTTTCTTCCTTCTCTTTCTTCCTTCCTCTCCATCTTTCTCTCTTCCTTTCTCTTCTCCTTGTATTTCCTCTTTCTTCTCTTGCTCAGTAGCTGTTGTAGCTCAGTAGTTAGAGCAATTACCAAGCAAAAAACTCCACATTTCAATTTCCTCTCTAAAAATCTTACTTTACTTTCACACTTTTTTCAGATCTTCGACGCAAAGATGACCGTCTACCAGAAATGGGCACAGAAACAGATGCAAAAGGTGTTGTAGGAAGACGAAAAAGTTTTATGCAAATCTTTAACACATTTAAATCCAATTTAAATCCAACCTTTTTAAACTTAACAAAGATCTAAAGACACAGCTTTACGTAGCTCTGTACCTAGTAAGTACGGTAACTAGTAAGTAGATCGTACTCTTTTTGAGTCATTTTCTTTCTTATCTCGATTTTTATCAAATCAACTCACTTTTTGTATCTTTTTTGAGCGGAATTAAAGCGAAAAAGTGGATAGATTGCTTAAAATAGAGACAAGTTTACGGTAATTAGGGAAAGGGTATGTTTTAGACTTTCTAAACAGTAAGCCACGCTATAGTCAAGCTACAGTAGCTGCTGGAATTTCATTCATCTTACTGTAGCTTTCTGTAAAGTTACTGTAGAGCAAGGTTACTGTAGCTTCCAGACTAAAGTTACAGTTTTAAAAGTTATGGAAAAGAAGCTGGCTATGTTTTAGGAACTGGCTATGTTCTAGTATCTAGCCAAGCCTTTAAAGGAAAAAGTTCTAAAAGAGTAATAGGAAAATTTACAGGAAACTACAGTACTATGACTATGATGAATATTTTCAGCAAATGAAGGGCCTCTTCGGCGGAAATGATTTCTTCTCGGCGATCTTCGGCGGTCGGAGTGGCGCATCGCATTTAGAGCCAACTACCGTCGACCCGGAAGCTGATCAACCACCACCCGAAGCTCCAGAAGCGCCAAAATTCTGCACAGCTATATATTAAACTAATAGCTACCATAATCTACCATAATCTACTATAATTTAACATATTTCTTGATGTTAATGACTAGATTTAGCTATATTTAACGAAATCAATGTAAATCTCTGTCTGTACTTTGTGCTCACCATTAAACGCTCACCCTTTGGCACATGGGACTCTTCTCTGGCACAGTGAAAAAAGTTTGCAAAGTCTTTTGAGAGAATCTCCTTTTGAGAGAACTCTTCTCAGTATGCCAGAAAGTATGCGTTTAGCGGTGAGTCCAAAGTACGAATTCCTCTTCACTGTGCCAGAAAGCATGCGTTTAACGGTGAGTCCAAAGTACGAATTCCTCTTCACTCTGCTAGAAATCGTGTGTTTAACGGTGAGCCCAAAGTACGAATTCCTCTCTTCACTGTGCTAGAAATCGTGCGTTTAACCGTGAGCACAAAGTACACAAAGTACATTTTTTACTTTTACAAATTTCTGTGCACCAGATGTCGAATGTTTGCAAAATTCCGTTGAAAACGTATTCTTTACATTTTTTCACATTATTTATTCACGTTTTACTTCTTTCTTGCCTTGATTTGTCTTGTTTGATTTCTTGATTTTTCAATAATCTGATATCTAATAGCTTTGGCAATAAATTTTCTGAAAAATAAAGAAAAAGCAAAAAAAATGTGATGTTTTTTTGAAAGAGTTTCAGGGTTTATCTCTGAAAATTTTCATACATTAATGGATTTGTTATCTGATTTGAAAAAAAGGCTTTCCTTTCAGATCTTCAAATCTTCAAATCTTCAAAAAAATCTTTTCAAAACAAAAAACACTTCAAAATCCTCCTCAAAAAGTCTTTTTTGAATAGATTTTCCAAATTCTATCTTTCTACCCCAGAAAAAATGCGTTTACAAGCACTTTAAGCACAAAGAACGAAATGTTATAGCCTATAACCAGTTCGTTCTTTGTGCTTCCGCATAAACGCCTGCCTTCTGGCTTAAGGGATTTTTATTCTAAATGTTAATTTTTATTAAGTATCTTTTTTCAGAAAAGAAAATGGAAAATAGCTTTTTCTAAAATGGCAAATGTGCTAAGAGGAGTGCAGTTAACTCCCTTTGGAGCAGGGGGAGATCGATTGCGTTGTGGTGTAATGGTTAGCACAGTTGCTCCATAAGCGAAAGGTCGCGGGTTCGAGTCCCGTTGCAGTATTTTGATTTGCCCTAGTCCCAGCTGTGCTTTTGGAGAAATCCTCCTTCCATTTAGCACCGTTGCCTGGTAAACGAAAGGTCGCCGGATCGGGTCCCGGTGGCGCACGACTTTTTGAGCTGCCCTAAGTTCTGTGGCTCTGTAGATCTGTAGTGGCTGTTCGTTGGGAGCAATCTTCGATTCGCCCTCCATTTTTTAAGCTCTTTACTAGATTTTCGATTTCTAAGAATCTACAAGTTCTCAAAATTTTTTAGAAAGAATGAAAACGTTGATTGGATGGTGTGTGGCGGGTGTTTTGTTGTTGGCGTTCACCGAGGCGGCTCCTCAATTCGCGACGGCTCGCTCCACCTATCTCACCACGTTTTCGCTTCTGGAACCGTCTTGTGTTGTCACGGTGAGGAGAAAATCAAAATATACAAGTTCTAGAGTAATTTCTTCTAAAGTAATCCGTTTTCTAAGCGTAGGGCGCGTTTTAGGAAACGGATTAGAGAGGAGCACAGATCAGATTCTAGGCAGCTAATTGTAAACTATTGTAATTACTGGATAGAATTACTGTAGCCTTTGAGCTACAGTAGGCCAGAATAGGCTCCAGTAGACTACAATAGGCTCCAGTAGGCTACAGTAGGCTCCAGTAGGCTTCAGTAGGCTCCAGTAAGCTTCAGCAGGCTACAGTAGGCTACAGTAGGCTTCAGCAGGCTTCAGTAGGCTCCAGTAGGCTTCAGTAGGCTCCAGTAGGCTCCAGTAGGCTTCAGCAGGCTACAGTAGGCTACGATAGTTTTTCTGAAGTGCCTTTCAGAAAACAGACATCATCTTTAATGAAATCTTTAGGGCGGAAAACTCTTCGTGAACGGGATCGAGGACCGGACTCTCAATTGGTCGGAGAGACACGAGTTTGAAACGTATCAGACATTGAAAAACAACTATGTCAAGGTGAAAAATTTTTAACAATAGAAAGTGTAACAATAGAAAGGTTGAACAGTAGAAAGATTGAACAGTGTAACAATAGAAAGATTGAAACTACTAGATTTAGAATCTAGAATCTAGTTTTATCAAAAATATAGCCTTTTTAGTTGGTGAAGCGTGCTATCGAGAAGCAACTCAATCGTATGTTGCGCAACAAGGAGAGAGGAGGTGAGATGTTTAAAATTAGTATATAGAGATTTATGTGAATTGCATCTGAGCATTTGAATACATCTGAACATCTGAATACATTTAAACTATATTTGTTTCCTTCTAGAGTCAAAGTTCGAGGTGCAACCATTGTTGGACGAGAGGATCAAGGTGAAAAGAGAAATTTTGGCTAGTTATCGAAGATTGTTGTTGTTAGATCTAGGCCTAGATCTTAGATTTTCGATATTTAGCTTTGGCTTACTGTAGGAAACATTTAGGCTCCAGAGAAGCCGTCATTTTGCTCGGATGAGGTGACCACACAGTACGCCTTTTCCGGGTGCATCGTACAGGTTTGGATAACTTTAGATTACAATAGACATGTACAATAGACATGTACAACAGACATGTACAATAGACATGTACAATAGACTTTAGCTTCTAAATAGATTTAGTATCTAGAATCTACATTTTAGATAGATTTAGAATATATCTAGGTAAAGTTTACTACTGTAGCTTGCTTTTGAGAGTAGTATAAGGTGTACTGTAGCTTATTTTTGAAAGCTTTTAGTGCTAGTGCTAGCTGCTGTTGTTGTGCTAGCTGTTGTTGTTGCTTGCTGTTGTTTAAAATTTTAACAGTCTTCTATAACCGAACAAAGGCTGTAAGGCTTAGTCTAAAAAAGTCTAAACAAAGGCTTAGTCTAGACAAAGGTTTAGTCTAAAATGTACAGTATCCAGTAGCACGTTTTAGAAAACGAATTAAATAGATGATGAGCTAAATGATCAAAAATCTTTCTATTTTTCAGAACAACAAAGTGATCATCAATGGAGCGATGGTTCGCGAGTTGTCCAGTGATGAGATCAAAGAGCTCAAGGTTTGGGGGAAAAAATTATTTATTTGACTGTAATATTGGGTTGATGGAAAAATCCTTTCCGATTTTTTAGGTTTCTGCACGGAAAACTAACGAAACGTGAAAACAGCCATTTTTTGGCTCTTCCGCCCTTTACTAAAATAGCTGCAAAAACTTTTAGAAAAGAGATATCTCAAAACGGTTTTTACCAATCGATCCGTCTTGAATTCAGCTTTAGGATGAGCTATAAAACGTCTAAATTCGACAAATTTAAGGTACTCTCCCAAAAAATCGGAAAGGACTTTTCCATTAACCCAATTAGTTTAACTTTTAGTTTCCAATTTCAACTTTGATTCCCCAAAAAAATTTTGTTTAGAGCTATCTCGCCAAGTTGGAAGAGTTCAAGAAATGGGCCGAGAAAACCGTTGAACAGGTGAGAGAGTTAGAAAACTTTTAAATGGTGTTTTCTACCGTAAGCTTCTACCTTAGGAAAGCTACCGTAATCTTGTTTGCTTAACGTCTTTTTTTAAAAGGTGCGCTTACGATCGTTCACTTCGTTTCGTTACAATCATTGAGAGTGGGACAAATGCTACCTTTTTTTTGCGCACCCGGACATTTGCGCACCTTTTTTTCCGCACCTTGCCCATTAGCGCACCTTTTTCGCGTTTTAAAAAAGCTCTAAAAAGCTAATATTAACCAATTTCTATTCCAAATGTTGTTTTTCTAGGTAATTTGAGGGTGTCGAATTCAAATTTTGACATATCAGAGCTTGTGGAACCAATTTGAAAGACAAAACGGCTAGATCAAATTACAGAAAATTGTCGATTTTTCTCTTTGTATAACTCCGTCCGTTCGCTTCCACAAGCTCTGATATGTCAAAATTTGAATTCGACACCCTCAAATTACCTAGAAAAACAACTCTTGGAATAGAAATTGGTTAATATTAGCTTTTTAGAGCTTTTTTAAAACGCGAAATAAGGTGCGCTAATGGGCAAGGTGCGGAAAAAAAGGTGCGCAAATGTCCGGGTGCGCAAAAAAAAGATCGCATTTGTCCCACTCCCCAATCATTCACTTAAAAAGCGAATTTCCTAACCACTATGGATTTTTTTTCAAACATTGAGAGGAATTAACTTTATTTTTTAGTAGATTTCTATAAAAAGCTTGTCCAAAATGAAAAATTCCTTTTAAAAAATCAAAGTAAATCAAAGTAATCAAAGTAAATCAAAGTAATCAAAGTTTGTCAGCTAAGGGATTTGAACTCACGCCAAAGATTTTTTTCTAGGTTTCGTAGACAGTACTACTATCCATTATACTACGCCCACTATTGAAAGACGTCCATAAGATGACCTCAAATAGCTATAGCTAAAACCAGGATCCTGGTTTTTTAACCTTGGCCGGGAGCATTAAAGTCAACTTTATTGTATCAGCTCCTTTGTCACACATTAGCACTATCCTTTTCTTTTCACTGTCTTCTACGCGAGAAAGCCTGAATTGAACAGCTTGAAGCACATTCTTTAATTTGATAATCCCTCCAGTGAACACATATTCAACGTTAGACCAAAACCTCTTCTTTAACTCTTGTAGACGATACTCACTTGGAAAAATTCCTGTGGCCTTTCCATATGCTGTGTGCATCTCTCGTCACTTTGGATTTAGTAAAAAGTGCCAACGTTTGAATTGGAGAAATAGGCGATATGATTGCGAAACCATGCTGCAAAGACAGGTTTCTTTGCAAATATCGTTTACGAATATTGTTGGCGATATGGAGAGGTAAAACATGTCTAGCATGAGCTGATCGCTTCATTTGTTGCTTGAGAGCCTTGGCCAATCTAACTTTTCGCATTTGTTGCTTGAGAGCCTTGGCCAATCTAACTTTTCGCATTTTTTCCTTGTTAAATTTTCGGTTGTTGCTCATTCTGATGCTGACATCCTGATGCGATAAGTTTCTTTCCCCGTTTTCCGTTTCTTGTTGATTTGAGGCATTTCTCTATCTGTAAAATACAAAACATTAATTGGAAACAAAATAATGTAAACAATAAAAAAAGAGCCAAAATTTTGATCAGAAGTGAAGAAAATAAAAACACATTTGTTTGTTTCATAATTTTTTTTTGATGGTTATGGTAGTTTTTCCAGCTTAAAAAATGAATCAGAAGTTTGGGGTGCGACCCGCTTTAACCTTATCAACGAGGATGATTCTGCTTGAAAATGGCCGAATAGCACAAAAGGTTAAAAGGGTTTTCCCCAAAAGCGCTTATAACGTAACAAGAACACGTAGTATCCTACAAATAGATTAATACTCTTGAGAAGAGTACGGATCGGATTGATACTACGTCGATGGAGACACAAATGTTAGTAAAACCAGTCTCTCTACAATGTTAAACCAGTTATCTAAACAGGATTTAAAACCTGAAGGGTAGCATAAAGTAAAGTGAATTTATAACGTTACTGTTTATTAGTAAAGAACCGAAATGCAACAATACCCATTACAAAAACGGCATGCGCATCAAAAATGAAACAACAAAAGTCCCGCGAGAAAGAAAGCAAAAAACCCCCAGACCAAAAAAATAATTTCGGGAAGGGAGAAAAAGGACAAAAAATGCGACGCGAATAATTGCAAAATAGCAACGCAAATAAGAAGGAAACGGACGCGACCCAGAGGCTAGGTCTCATTTCGAAAGGCTACGATGACCTCGCTAGGGAAAGCTACGCCCAACAATTAAGCCAGTGGTTTTTGTTTTCTAAAAGATGCGCCTAGGAAGAAGCCGGACTTTTCAGGACACGCTAGTTTCATTCGTTTAAGGAAAAACTAATCTATTATCTATGCAATTTGGTGTATTGGGAGTTTCCAGAAGATGAACGAGGCGTTCCGGGGAATGGTGAGTGAGTCGGTTGAGGTGAATGCCGAGGAGAAAACAACCCAAATCCCATCGACCACTTCCATGCCGGATATCCACCTCTTGGAGACACCAAATTTCTGCACAGCGATCTACTGATCAAGCTATTTGTCTTTTTTTTAATAAAGCTTGCATTTTTAAGTACCCCAAACCCATACTAAACCTGAATAGGATTTTAAAATTTGCAGAACAAAAGCACAAGATAGAAAGAGACAAGAGAAAAAAGCGTTTTTTCATGAAAAATTCATAAGCTTTGAGAGAAAAATGGGTAAAAGATGCTCATTTTGTATTTAAAACTTTCATTTTTCAGCATTCAATAAAATTGACAAAATTTGAATATGAGTCGCATGCGGAAACGTCGGAAATACGTCGCGAATATGTTGAAAAATCGTCAACAGAATTTATCGGTTTTTGGTGGTCGTTCACGGTCTATTTTCACGAAATCGTCATCATCGACGTCTTCTCGATCGTCGTCGCCTCAATCGTTCGACGGAATGTCAGTGCGAGCGCGTCTCGTCGCCCATTCATCGATCACCATCGATCACGAAAAGCAACAAGCCGTTTATCAAAGTAAGATCATTTTTAGAGGTTGACTATAGTGTTTTCTAACAGTCTAACAGACTCTAGGTTGTTAATTCCTAGATTGCAACTAGATCTTTTTTTTGTATAGATTGACTGTGTTTAGTGTATTCTGTGGCTTTTTAGTACTAGATTATCAAAATAAGACCGAGCGAAGGGGCGCGTAACTAAAGTAGACATGAAAATTCTATTCCCACTCAAATTCTGCTCACCATTGACACTTCTTGCACAGCTTCCACTTCCAGTAACGCTTAACGGCGCTGTCCGTCTTCGTGTATTCGTTCTTGTACTAAAAGAAACAAGATCTTTCATCAAAATTTAGTTTTTCGTTTTTGGTGTGCGAGTTGACGGTGTTTAGTGCATTCTAACATCCTATATTATGTTAATTTCTAGACTATCAAAATAAAATCGTTTTTGTGTGAAGCAGTTGACTTCTTTACGTGGATTCCATGCTGTATTCTAGACTTTTTCTGTTTTTGTGCGAAAAGAAAGCGTTTTTACTAGATGATTTACATAATTTTTCTGATAATCACCATGAAACACGTGTGTTATGAGGTAACAAGCTGCTAAAATATAGTTTTAAAAGTTGCTTCAAGTTCCACAGCTGTCGTTAGCAAAGTGTTTCATAGAGAAACGAGCTAATGGCTTGAAACTAAAGCTTTAGTATCAAAATTTGTAAGCTTAGGCTTCAAAATTGTAGCTTAAGCTTCGGGTTAGGCTTAGGCTTTTGTGCTTTACAATGCGTATGACTTTTGCTTACTCATTTTTCTCATTTTAGCTCGCGATGTTGTGCCGATGACTGACGTGAAGTGGACGAGCTTGCAGCGATGTTGCGTCTTTCTTCCACCGATCATCATTTTTGGATTAAGTAAGACATTCCTGACTGGTTCTAGATTTTGCTATTTTAGCCATATTCAACACTCAGCTGGGCGTTTACTCCTTCTGGCATCTCTACGATCATCAGATCATCGCCGCAATTGTTGCTAACTACATGCAGGTACATCTCTTTGCTTTATTAAGTTTAGTACAATCTTTTTTAGATTCTAGTTCTCACGAACATTTGGGCGATGGTCAAAAGTCAAAGGTTTTATTTAAATTTACGATTTATCAAGGAAATTTTTAGCAAGAATTGTCCCCAATATCAATTGCATCGTCTCGGCATTTCATCCTCGTGGATGGCAGAGGTGGGATATTAAAATTTTAGGTACTAATCAAGTTCAGGAGGAGACACTTTGATTTGACCCGGTTAAAACCTTTTTTACGCGCTTTTTTCTAGTCTGCTTTTGCATTTTCTTGGGTAATCAAATACGCTTAATCTATTGATGATATTTTAGAGTGTTTTTGAATACTTTTCACTTTGTATTTCACTCCTGACCACATTTTCTAGCGTTGTGGCACTGTAACTTCAGCTAGCTCAACCAAATATTTTCAAAGATTGTTCAAAACTTCCTAAAAATATCACCAATAGATCCAACAAGTTTGATTACCCCAGAAAAAATGAAATAACATTGGTAACGGTCGAAAAATACGATCTGACTAAATCAGATCAAAGTGCCTTTTCCCGAACTTTATTAGTACCAAATTTTGATGAAAGATCTTGTTTCTTTTAGTACAAGAACGAATACACGAGGAGGGATAGCGCCGTGAAACGTTATTGGAAGTGGAAGCTGTGCAAGAAGTGTCAATGGTGAGCAGAATTTGAGTGGGAATGGAATTTTCATGTCTATTTTAGTTACGCACCCCTTCGCTCGGTGCATTGCGAGGATTGCGGACAATGCTCATTGAGAAACGATCATCATTGCTACCTGTTTGGAGTGTGCATTGGAGTTGCCAACATGGTGATTAATCAGAGCTGTGTGAATATTGTTTTACATTTAGCGTCACTTCATCGTCTGCACCTACTGGATGATGTGCGGCGGAGCGTGGGGAGCATCGACTTTTCTTTATCTTCTTGCACAAATCGTCTTTAACCAGTTCGTTTCATTTTGGAAGCTATTTTATTGTGTTTTTACAGTGAGGGCATCATTTCCCAGAAGTACTTGCACCCGATCCTCAGCCAATTCAGCGTCAGTTGCAACTATTTTTCTATTATTTCTATTTTAGAGCGCTAATCGTCACAGGCCTGTTTATCCTAACGAAGTGTCTTCATCGTTATTCAACGAGAGCTTTCTGATGTTGTTGACATCAACGATGGTAGGAAATTTCCCGAATATCATTTGATTTCTCTAAAATCTAGGTGTTTTTCTTTTCGATGCTTGCCTTTATTTGCGGAGGGTTTTTCTTCTTTATGCAGGCAGGTTTTTGGAGAGTTTAGTAAATTTTCAGGATTATTATTGTATGTAGAATCTATTGAAATGTGATCCTGATAAAATTTTTTAGATGTACTACACACGCCAAGGCGTTGGAATGCGCGAAGCCGATAGCATTGCCCCAGTCATTCGTGGTGATGATCAAGGAACGACTTTTGGTGAGCAAATTTTCCCTTTTTTGGCTTTAGCATAAGGCTTTTGTGGGAAAATTCGGAATCACTCGTGGAAAGTTTCTTGTAAAGCCACTCTTAAACTTTTTTCTCAGTGAATCGTCTCCAATTCTACATCGGTAATCCGCTGTGTGCTCATATTTTCATCCCACCTCAACTTTTGCAGATGATTTGGCCTGAAATGGTGGGTGAATTTTCTTGGATGTATAGTCAGAGCTTTGAACTTATTCGAAGTCTTCACTTTTAGGCTGATGTTGAGTGGTCGGAGAACTACGTGCGCTCGATTGTCACACAGCCGTTCAAAGTGAGGGTTTTTGCCAACTTAGTCAGGAGTAATAAATTAAAGCTTGAACTGGGTGAGATAATCGTATAAATATAGCATTTCATCCGCTCTTAAATGAACATTTCATCCGATCCACTTTTAGGCAAATCTCACGATCAAAGAGGGAACCTATGAGCGCTAAGAATTCACTGAAAGGCTCCAGATACAGCAACAAAAAACTTTGGCCAGCCATTTGAACATAAAAAGCTTTTTAAAATCACCCATAATGTTTTTTTTTCTCTGACGGTATAGCTATAGCTTCGTTCCATTATCTCTCTTGTTTGCACAGTAAATGCTTTATTTTCCCCTCTAATCGATCTCCCTACATTTTTTTCTGATGATGATTGATCCGGGTTTTGTTTTTAAATAAATTTTATGAGTTCATTTTTATGCTATGTACAAATAGACAGGTTAAACGATTTCCGTTTGTTTGGTGGCTTTACTTGTGCAATCACTTTCAGCTGTTGTTTTTCGTTGGAGATTTTGGGCGCCGTGGAATTCCTCGACGTTGACACCCTGAAGTTGGTGATAGAGTTCATTTTTCTTTAAAATATCCAAACTTTAGGATAAGCTTCAGTACTCTGGCTACAAAACTCTGCGGATATTTTGAAGACAATAAACCTGTAGCCGTTAGTTCCTTTTTCACTCACATGCTGTTTGAGCATTTCGTCGATCTCCGAATTCTCAAGTTCGTCCATTTTTAGTGCGTCGAGATCCTTTTTGCACAAATGATACACAAAACCGCACCCGAAAGCATCACCGATCACATTCACCGATGTTCGTAAGCGGTCACTGAACAATTTGGCTATGGCAATGGAAATGTTCACTCACAGTAACCAATCAACAGCAATGATTAGCGAAATATCATCAATGGGAAGGTCTAGCGCCGTCAAAACGATCATCATTGTGACGAGACCGGCGGAGGGGATCGACGCGGCGCCAATCGAGGCAAGTGTGGCGGTGATGCTGAAATTTGGGATCTAGATAAGAAGATTCTTTTGGGCTTCAGACTCGTAAGCCTGCTCTAAAACCAGTCGTCCAAAAACATCCAAAAACAATTTAAGGAAAGTCGGCGGCTGGCTTCTTAGTTTGCCTAGAGTTTGCTGTGGAAGTCCCAGATCATACCCAGTAAAGCTCAAGCTCAAGATCTCAAGTCGGCCCAATCACAAATTTGATCAACGATATTCCAACCGGACATCAAGTAAGCTTCTGGGACTAGTCCAAACATAATTTCTGGTGCTTGGTCGGCCTTTTAATTGAGAATTGGGAAAATATTGGCTTTGGAAAAACCTTGCTCAACAAAGTAAGCTTTTTGCTTTATCATAGCACGAGCTTTTTTGAAAATTTAGTTAAAATTCAAATCACCTCACTGTGATCACATGTCCGATTCCCATATCCAAGCCGTTCATTTGTGCGATGAAAATTGAGGCCACCGCCTCGTAAAGAGCGGTACCGTCCTAGATTTCTTTTATCAGAAAACTACGGAAATTGCTTAACGATGTTTAAAAACGCAAAAATTACCATGTTCACCATGGATCCAAGTGGGAGAACGAATTTCGTGATTCTCTCGTCGATCCCGATCTCGTTTAGGCAACGAAATGTGATCGGAAGGGTGGCAGCACTGGGAATTTGATAATTTAGGTTTTAGATTGTTGTTGTTGTTTTTTTTGTGAAAACCTGGACGAGGTGCCCAAAGCGGTGAGCACAGCTTGACTCAATCCTTTCAGAAATGGAAACGGATTCGAGCGAGTGGCGATGAAGAAAATCGCTGGCAGAGTGACGAAAGCTTGGATGAGAAGACCTTGAAATTAAAAGGGAAATTTCTTTTTTTACAAACTAAATTCCCTAATTTCTTTATAAATTTAATTTTAAGAGTCGAAATTGGCAAGTTGCATAGGGATAAAATTCATTTAAAAGTGTGGCTAGTGAATTTTAAATGATTTCCAATCTTGGCTAGATGGCTAGATACTTAAAGATATTTTAAAGTCTTAGGTGTTTCAAATTCGGCTAATTAAACCAGCCAGTTAAAAAGCCAATTTTCATTTAAAAAACCCATTTTTCTGTTTGTTTTTGTGACTCTTAAAGAGCACAGAGAACTGTAGCGTATCTTTAATGTCAAAATTTCAAAATTTACAGTAGCTTTTGTTTATTAGTAATATTTAATGTTCAACAAACCGATAATCACCGTTAACATATACAAGCCGAGCATTTTCACTGTTCCACCTAGGTCGGAGATGCCAAGGATTTTCGAGGCGATTAATGACGCGATACCGATTGGACCAATCCTCAAAAGGGACACTACAGTTTCACAAATATAAGAGTTATTTTAAATGCTATAGTAATCTATTAGATAGTAATCTATTAGATAAGTAAACTATTAGATAGTTACTTTAAGTTTAGTAAAATACTAACCACATGATGATGGTGACCATTTTGGTAATCACCAAGTCGATCGCTTTGAAGAGATCACGAAGTGGACGACCAGCAGCACCCACTCGAGAGATCACGATGCCGAACACGATACAGAAAATGATTAAACCTAGAAAATACTCTACCAACAAATCTAGATCACAGAGATCTTGAACCCCATCAACAAATCTAGATCACAGAGATCTTGAACACCCACTCACCCAACCCACTCACCCAACCCACTCACTCAACCCACTCACCCAACACATTCATCCCTGGCGTGTACACAACTGTTGGCGTTTTCTTGAGCACCGTTCCATTCGCGTCAAAGCTTTCCTTGTAAACGGTTTTCTGTTGTTCGAACATTGTTTGAATCAAATTCTCCGGAAACATATTTCTAAATAAATCAAATAAAAATAGAAAAAAACCTTTGAGAAAATCGTTTTTCACCTAATCAAATCCAAGAATTTGTCCGTTGCAGTCGCGTCCTCTTTTTCCACCTCTTCCTTTGGTCCGCTATAGTCACTTTTCAGCTTTGGATTCCCGGGATGTATCAGCATTACAAGAACAACTCCTAGCTATTAGCTTTTTAAGTTTTTAAAAGAAAATCGCTTCTTACAATGACGGCATGCGTTGTGGTGAGAATGTAGTAGAGAATCGCGCGCGAACCCACTTTTCCCGAGGTTTTCCCGTCCAATGAAGCGAGACCTAGGGAAAACGGAGATCTTTTAAAAATTGGTGATCTATTAGCATTAGAATTCAGCTCGTACAGCCGAAAAACCCGCTTAACAGCGGTACTTGTCGCCATGGCGCAGTTGGGAGCGCGCCTCTCTACTGCCCACCCGATCCTGGTTCGACCCCCGTAGTGCATTCAATTTTGGTTTTATGACCCAAACACAGCTGAGAAAAAGACCAGCCAGACCAGCCAGACAGACAGACGGACGAACAGACAGACAGACATACGGACGAACAGCCAGACAGACAGACGGACGAACAGGCAGACAGACGGACGAACATCCAGACAGACGGACGAACATCCAGACAGACGGACGAACAGCCAGACAGACAGACGGACGAACAGCCAGACAGACAGACGGACGAACAGACAGACAGACAGACGGACGAACAGCCAGACAGACAGACGGACGAACATCCAGACAGACGGACGAACAGCCAGACAGACAGACGAACAGACAGACAGACAGACGAACAGACAGACAGACAGACGGACGAGCAGACAATGCTCTTTTTTATATAGTAGATTTTCCCTTGAAAAACTCTACGCAACTAAAGAAAAAGTAATTGCCAAAATAAATCGATTGCTGATTTTTGTATTTAAACTTTCGCTATTTTCAATTTTCATCTTTTCAACTTTAACGCAGTGGGTAGCGCGCTTGTCTACGCCCCGCACGACCCGGGTTCGACTCCCGGCTGTGGTCTGACTTTTACTTTTCATGTGAAATAGGAGATGCACAGCTGCAGAGAATTCTAAGCATAATAAACTAAAAATCATGGAAATCGACCCACGGCGAGCCGAGAACAGACAGACGGACGGACAGACACTTCCCTTTTATACATATTACCAGCAAAACAATTTTGGACCAAAAAGCAAAAGAATTGGCGGCGAGAGGAGTCGAACCGACGACCTCTCTTCCGTTCGTTTGAGAGACGCGCGCGTTAACCACTCGGCCATGCTTGAGAGATGCTAGCTCGCCATTCGGCCATGGTGAAGTGCAAGTACATTTGTCTCTAGCCCGCACGATCCGGGTTCGACTCGTGCCCACGTCGGCACTTTTGGTTTTTTGGAAATATAAAAACATTTTGCACAACTAGATGGAATTGTAAGCCAAACTAATTATAGAGCATTTGAAACGGCTCACGGGGTGCGGAGGAGACAGACAGACAAACAGACAAACAGATAGACAGATAGACAGACAAACATACAGACAGATAGACAGACAGGCAGACAGACAGATAGACAGACAGACGGACAGTTAGACAGCCAGACAAACAGACAGACAGACAGACACAGCTCCTTTATATCTAGTAGATTACTCACTTGTGATCAAACTGCTCGCGATTAGCGGTAAAATCATGCACTTGAGCATGTTCATGAAGAGTTCGCCGGGGAAACCAATGTACCGAATCGCGTTCGGGCTCGGTTTTGCGTACCTGAATCAAATAAGGGAATAGGCTGGGGATTTTGAACAATGTTTGTCTCTTGTTCGTTTAGTTTTGTAAAAGTTACACACTAAAATCTTCTTTTATACCAAGGGCAACTAATGATAGTTTTCGTAAAAAAAAACGAAGGCTGCAAGCGGGCTCGAACGCGCGTTTTCTGGGCGAGAGATAGACTAGAATAGAGATAGCGCCACTTTTCCACTATCACAAGGTTATCGGCAAGAACACTTTTTCTTGCCGTTCGATACGCACCTGGTAATCCGACTTTGCGCTCAAATTTCTTGGTGTTGAGCTGTTCAATTCATAAATTATTGGTTCGATTAGATGCGTCAAGTCTTTCTCTGTTGATTGGTATAAAAATTATTTCAATTGGACACCCCAACACCAAGAAATTTGATGGCAAAGGGGGCAGGGCGTTGCCATTGGCAATCTAACTTTGAGCTCAAATTTCTTGGTGTTGGGCTGTCCAATTTACATATTCTTGGTGCCATTAGATGCGCCAAGTCTTTCTCTGTCGATTGGTATAGAAACTATTTAAATTAAACAGCCTAACATCAAGAAATTTAAGTTCAAAGTTGAATTGGGAATGAGAAAAGGGAATGAGAAAATAGAACGACTTTTTCTAATAGAACCTCTTCTAATTCTACGATCCCCTTCCACAGTTTTGACGTTTAAACTTAAAGAAAAGAAAGCTGATGAACTGAGGGGCAAGGAAATATCTTCCCTAAGCTTGAAATCTCGTAAACCGTTTATTAGAGCCTATTGATATGGGTCGGAAAATGTAGGTAACGATGAGATCTAGTAGCTGATTAGAGTGTTGAGCTTCTGTGAAAGCTTTGAAACTGTAAAATAGTCGTCAACTCAGCTAAGCAATTTCATCAATTAATTAACCAGTTACCGTATTTTCTCTAATAGTAGTGCACCATGAGTGTCCCTTAAATTCGTTGAAATCTCGAGAGCCGCTTATCAGAACCTATTGATGTGGGTCGGAAAGTGTAGCTGACGATGAGATCTAGTGGAGGATTTGAGGGTTGAGCTTCTGTGAAAGCTTTGAACGTGTAAAATAGTCATCAAACTCGGCTCGACCGGGTGCATTACTATTACGAATATAATTGATTTTTGTGTGTATTAAACAATGTCTATGAAACAATTACTTTAAATTTTATTTAGTTTATTCCTAGGCTTTATCGTTTATTATTTTCAAAACTCAAAAAAAAAACTTAAAAACTCACTTTTATTTTTTAAGCATGTCGCTTAAAAAACTATCAAGCTAATAGAATTTTTGGTTTAAAAAAAATAAAAGTTGAGTTGATTTGAATACCGTATTTTCTCTAATAGTAGTACACCCTGAGCGTCGCCTAAAATGCTTGAAATCTCGAAAAGCGCTTATCAGAACCTATTGATGTGGGTCGAAAAATGTAGCTGACGATGAGATCTTGTAGCTGATTTGAGTGTTGAGCTTCTGTGAAAGCTTTGAAACTGTAAAATAGTCGTCAACTCGGCTAGGCGGGAAAATACTATTAGAGAGAATACGGTAGTCAGAACGACTGTTAAAACAATAACAATTTGTCTCACTTTACGTCAAAATGAACCTCTCGGAGATCAGTGTTTTTTTGGAGAAGCGTGCAATCGTCTACTTTGGACAATGGATTGATTTAAGTGCCAAAGTTATAGAACCTGATGTGGGTCGGAAAATGTAGCTAACGATGAGATCTTGTAGCTGATTAGAGCTTCTGTGAAAGCTTTGAAACCAAAAAATAGCCACCAACTCAACGGGGTAATCAATGTCTCAAAATCCGATCGTTTTCAACAAACTTTTGCGAAACAGAGACAAAACGCCTTGAAAAAAGAAACGCCGTCTTTAGATTCTAGAAAGCCGTAAGTTTAAGCGCTTTTTAAGACTCTGTTCATTAAAAAAATGGTGGAGAACTTTCACAACTGATAAACAGAACTGATAAACTGACAAACCTGAGGAAAAAACCCAAAAAACAGCCGACGATCACCGAGCCGACTGTCAAAGCAAGCAAAATATTTTGCGGTTTGAGAAAAAAGCGTAATGTTTGTAAATCTTTAAGACCCATTCCAAGAAAAGTTTATCTAAAAAGTTGAGAATTTGAAATCTAAATCATTTAAAAGCCCAAGAACTTCAATCATTTCAATTAGCTCCAAAAAAAACCATAAAAAAGAACTTTTCATTCAAAAGATCTGTTTTCCGATCGGTTTACTATAATTTTTTTTTCATTGAATCAACGAAAAGCAAACATTGTAAAGGAAAAAAAAAGAAGAATTGATATGAATGATTTGAAAGTTAAAAGAAGAAAATCAGACGAAAATCAGACGAAAAGCAAAGGAGAACAAGTACAAGAGAAATGGGAACTCCGTGGAGAACAAGTACGAGTAAAGGAGAACAAGTACGAGTAAAGGAGAACAAGTACGAGTAAAGGAGAACAAGTACAAGAGAAATGGGAACTCCGTGGATTTCTACGCCCCACACGACCCGGGTTCGACTCCCGGCTGTGGTCTGACTTTCAGGGATCCACGAGTCCGTCGATTCCCTCTCAAGTAACTCGTTTTCTCAAAAAAACGACGAAATTCGAAAGAAATGAGCATTTCCTTTTCATTTTTGGTGTTCAATTTCGGCCAACTCAATATTTGATGCTTTGAATAGACGGCGAAAGATCACGAAAGATCACTTTCTAATCATCCTTAATATTTGCCTTGTCTAGGGGTACATGTTTGAGGTCAAAAGTCGTCCTCTTTTTGAGAGAATCGAGTGCTTTTGTACCCCAGGGGTGTTTAGAGGCAAATCTCAGATTGATATCCTAATTTTGAAAACTACAATGGATCTAGCTACAGTAGCCCAATAGTTTTTGATGCTTTTCTAAAAGCTGCCGAGAAAAAGCTACTGTAAGATGGCTACAAAGGCTATCGTAAGATGGCTCCAAAGCTACCATTAGAGGGCTACAAAAGCTACCGTTAGAGGGCTACAAAAGCTACCGTAAGATGGCTACAAAAGCTACCGTTAGAGGGCTACAAAGCTACCGTAGGCGGGCTATAAAAGCTACTGTTAGAGGGCTACAAAGCTACCGTAAGATGGCTACAAAAGCTATCGTAAGATGGCTCCAAAGCTACCATTAGAGGGCTACAAAAGCTACCGTAAGAGGGCTACAAAAGCTACTGTAAGATGGCTACAAAAGCTACCGTTAGAGGGCTACAAAGCTACCGTAGGCGGGCTATAAAAGCTACTGTTAGAGGGCTACAAAGCTACCGTTAGATGACTACAAAGGCTACTGTAAGATGGCTACAAAAGCTATCATAAGATGACTACAAAAGCTACCTTGATCTAAATTCATCTCCTAAGAGACAAATAAAGTCATCCTTATTTTGAAACCCGGATTACGATAGCTGTTTTATCTTACGAGTACGGTAACTTCATTACGAGTACTTCATTCCAAGAGCGCTTTTTTTGAAAACCCTTTAATCAAAAAGGAAACTCAACAAGTTCAAAAATCCATCGATTACGGTAGCTTTTGTAGCATCTTTTCGCATCTTTTCTTAGCGCATTTTTTCGTAAATCGTTTCCAATTCTAACAAAAGTTAAGAAAATAAAAAAACTGTTGTAAATTGAATAAAAATCGATGCATGATTGCCGTCTAATCACTTTGTTGCTTGTGTAATATTCGAAAATTTCCTTTTCATACACTTGTTGACAAGAAAATGTGAATTATTTGAAAAGTAGAGAGAGAAAAAAAAGGGGGGAGAAAGTAAATAAAGTGACTTATCAATGGGTCATCGAAAATCGAAAATCAAAAAAAACGTTAGGTAATTGAAATTTTGAAGAGAAAAAAAGCGGTTTTTCAAAAATTTTTTTAAGCTTTTTTGGATTGGATTGTAATATTTTCTTTAAATTTTCCCTTTTCTACACAATTTTTTTCTCATTTGAAAGATGGAACAGAGAGAACAGAGATGCTAATTTTTAAACCCAAATTTTCAGCCCGTCCACCCCAACTCGGTTGCCCCTACGTACAGTAGGGTCCAAAAGTTTGGAAAAATCACCTTCCGGCAACTTTAACTCGATGTAACTTGCGTTAAATAATAGGTTGTTGCATAAGTGTTTTCGTTTTTTTCGTACTTCTGTTAAAAAGTAACAAATTCACCAATTAATCTATAGTTTGCTCTATAAAAAAAGTGTTTTTTTTTGTTCAATTTGCATCTTTTTAAATGAATTTCGGTTCACTTTCAAGCAAATTCGAGAGTGAAAAACGCCTTTTTCGTAAAAATCTATAAAAAACTCTACGGAAAAATTGGCTCAATGAATTTCTCTGAAATTTTGGCGAAATATCAAACGTTTTGTTTTCCCTATCTTTTATCTATTGACACGAAGATAGGTTTTCTTTAGCTAAGGTGTCTAAACCGCATCATCGAGTTAGCCCTTTTTGACTACCCGACTTCATACTCTCAAGAAAATCCAGGCATTCAATATTTTTAAACCCGTTTTAATGTTATTTTGCAGAAAAATAATTGCTTTTTCTAATGAAATCAACCGTAGTTTAATTCGTGCATTTGTTGGCTTGAAACGGCAGACGAAAAGGAACGAAAAGGCTTATGCATCAACCTATTAGATGAACTAGATGAGGAACTAGATGAACTAGATGAAGAACTAGATGGGGAACTTGATGAAGAATTTGATGAAGAACTAGATGAACTAGATGAAGAACCAGATCAACAACTAGATGAAGAACTAGATGGAGAACTAGATGAACTAGATTTAACAACTAGATGAAGAGCTAGCTGGAGAACTAGATGAACTAGATGAAGAACTAGCTGGAGAACTAGATGAAGAATTTGATGAAGAACTAGATCAACAACTTAATGTTATTTTGCAGAAAAATAATTGGTTTTTCTAATGAAATCAACCGTAGTTTAATTGGTGCATTTGTTGGCTTGAAACGGGCAGACGAAAAGGAACAAAAACACTTATGCATCAACCTAATACATTCAATTTTGTTACTTTAAAAACGATTTTTGTTGCATTTTTTGTGAACTTTCTGAATGTCTACTTGATTTTATTTGATATTTGATCTTTTTTTTTGCCTTGCTCTTTTTCTTGGAACACCCATTTTTTAGGGGTCCAAAAGTTTGGAACAATTTCAGCTGTTATTAAAGCAAAGGGATACGCCACAAAATACTGAATTTTGCCGGTTAATCGTTAAATAAATTGTTATTTTTGAAATTGTTCCAAACTTTTGGACCCTACTGTATGTAAAATCGGGCTCCACCCACCCCGAGCTACGTTCCCGGCGCTGGGTGAGAAGGGTAGGGTTCCTATTTTACATTACATTCGGGCAACGGAGTTGCGGTGGGTGGGCTGAAAATCCCCGAACTACGTTCCTGGCGCTAGGTGGGAAGGGTAGGGTTCCTATTTTTACACATTCATTCATTACATTCGGGCAACGGAACTGAACAGAGATTGTGCATCGAATAGAAACGAAATTCGTTGAAACGAAATTCATTGAAACGGAGAAAATCTTGAGCGAAAATCTTTACGATATTTTCCAAATCATTCACCTTTTAGCAAACGCGATTTGATAGCTGTGGATAGCTGTGAGCTTTCTTGACTAAAGAGTCTTCCAAAAAAGGCGCTCTTTGGGGTCAAAAAAAACCAACTACCGTACTTTGAGGTTTTAGGCTTATGCTAGTGCTAAATAAATTAGAGCTGGAAATGAGGCTTGAATTTTATGCCAAAGTTCTGCATAATCAATTTGAAGCTACAGCGAAATACACACAAAAAAACACAGATTTTATTGTATCTAAAAAGTCGAAGGGTTACCGTAGTGCGCTACGGTGAATAAAAGGAATCTTGAGTTTTTTTTGTGCAAACACAGAATACGATAGGCTTTCTTCTAGTACATTTTTCATTTTTAAAACCTTTCAAATTGACATAGTTGTTCCTCAATGTTTGGTACGTTTGAAACTCCGATCAATTGAGAGTCCGATCTATTCCAGCCTACTGAAGCCTACTCTAGCCTACTGTAGCCTACTGTAGCCTATTGTAGCCTATTGTAGCCTATTGTAGCCTACTGTAATCTGCCCAATAAATCGGTTTCGGATCGGAGATTTGTAGTTCTTTCTCTCTAAAGAGGAAAAAGAAAGCCCTTAGTTTTGAATTTCTAAATCACTTTTTAGTATTTGACCTTATAGGGCACAGAATTGCACTAATTTCGGCAGTAGAAAAGCCAATTTTAAAAAAAAACCTGTAACTTTCTTTAGCATTATTCTTTTTGAGTATTCTTTCATCCATTCGAAAGCTCTTGAGATTCTCGATTTTTTAAGCCATAGTTACAATGGTTTGTAGTCCTGCCTCGAAACGGGAAGTACTGGAGCGTAGTCGAAGCGATCGGACCGTACTGGAGCGTAGTCGAAGCGATCGGACCGTACTGGAGCGTAGTCAAAGCGATCGGACCGTACTGGAGCGTAGTCGAAGCGATCGGACCGTACTGGAGCGTAGACGAAGCGATCGGACCGTACTGGAGCGTAGTCAAAGCGATCGGACTGTACTGGAGTGTAGACGAAGCGATCGGACCGTACTGGAGCGTAGTCAAAGCGATCGGATTGTACTGGCGCGTAGTCGAAGCTGATCGAGTTAGGCTACAAGCCACTGTAACTTTCTTTAGCATTATTCTTTTTGAGTATTCTTTCATCCATTCGAAAGCTCTTGAGATTCTCGATTTTTTAAGCCATAGATCACGTGAATCCGATCAATTTAAAGCAATTTAGAAGCGTTTATAGTTTACGTTTGTAGTTTACGTTTGTAGTTTGTAGTGTTGTTTAGTCTATAGCTAGAATAGGCTGCTGTCGGTCTGAAAGACCAATCAATCAAAAGATTCAGAGAAAAGCCGTCTGTTTGCCTTACAATTGTGCCTGTGTTGTGACTGGAAACTGTCTTTGTGAACAACTTTTGCATGTAAAAATTTATCGCACTGGCTTCTCGACTTTTTAGATGACACGAGCCGCCTTTCTTCTGTAGCCTTGTTGAGCTGGTGGAGGGGCGGCAGCCGGAGCCGCATCACCGTAGCTCTGAAGGCTTAGCATAAGCGTGTCATTATTTCATTATTCTCTAAGCATCTATAGGTTAATTTAAGGTATACCTGAGCCGCACCGGTTTGCGAGATTGGCAAGTCGCTTGTACGGGGCGGGCCTAATATAATACAAATCATAATCATATAAATCAAAAATACATGGACAGTAGGCAGCGTCGGCTCCAGGAACTCCATCGGTACCAGATTGTCCGCTCTAAAATCAAGGAATCGGTTAGGAGAGGATTAGGAGAGGGTTATGGTAGCTATTGACCTCTAAAAGATATTCAGCTAAGCTTTCCACGAAAGATAAGAGCTATGGCAGCATTAGGAGAGGGCTACGATAGCTATTGATCTCTAAAAGATACTCAGCTAAGCTTTCCACGAAAGATAAGAGCTATGGCAGCATTAGGAGAGGGTTACGATAGCTATTGATCTCTAAAAGATACTCAGCTAAGCTTTCCGCGAAAGGTAATAACTATGGTAACAGTAGGAGAGGGTTACGGTAGCTATTCTAATTTAAAAGATACTAGATAAAGGCTAGCCGGTTAAATTAGACTAAGAAACGATTACTGTAACAAATTTTGTCATTCAAGCAATATTTAGCTATCTTTCTACACTAGTAAAAACCATTTTTTTTACCTTTTTATAAAAACCCTTTTACCGTAACCTTTTATAAAAAGATTACGGTAAAAATGGCTTTGCTAGGCAACGGTTACGGTAATTAAAAAGCTATTCAGCCGAGCTTTCTACAGTGACTCAAAAGTAACCCATTGTCTAGGTTACTTTTGGTGATTTCAACTCACTTGTCCATCTTGTCCAGGCTGTCCATCTTGTCCAGGTTGTCCGGCGGGGCCAGCTTGTCCATCTTGTCCATCTTGTCCAGCCTCTCCGTCTTGTCCTGGCTGTCCAGCAGGTCCAGCAGGTCCACGAGGTCCAGCGCGACCAGGTTGTCCCTTTCCACGAGTGCCTGAAGATAGTGGATTTATAAAAACAATGGATTTATAAAAACACTGGATTTATAAAGTTCTTCCTGTTCTTCTATCCTAAAAATTGCCCTTATTATCCCGTTGTGCTTGCTGAATGCAAGATTGAGACATTTAAACCCTAGAAACCCTATCGAAGCATCAAAATAAGTCATTTGAAGTATTTTACAGTAAGCTGAATAGGTAATCCAGCTAATTACAAGTTTATCCAGTCCTTCTCTACTCACCATTCTTTCCAGGAGCTCCAGGCTGACCAGGTGCTCCAGGTTGTCCGTCTTGTCCAGCGTCTCCAGGCTCTCCTGAGAGTCCCGGTTCTCCGTCTTGTCCAGGCTAAAGCAAGCAAATTCCAAATTCTCTAGTATTCCAGGAGATTCCGTTCCAAGCCTAATTCCATCCTCATTTCAGTAGTTTCTCGGGCAATTCTTGGAGATTCTTGAGAGAGATTCTTGAGAGACTGTCCAAAGCTTTTAGGTGGTAAGAAAGGTGGAATTAGGTTGGGCACGGACTTTGCCTAGTAAACAGTACTTGTCCATCGGGTCCAGGTCGTCCATCTTGTCCAGGCTGTCCAAGGGGTCCATCGGGCCCAGGTGGGCCAGGTGGTCCAGCTGGGCAAACGATGCATCCACTATCGTAGGCGCCCTTTTGCGGGATCGAAGTACCCTAAAAATATAGGAAATGTATATCTAATCGATTACAGTACTAGCAGCTTTGCAGCAAAAAAATTTTGGACCAAAAAGCAAAAGAATTGGCGGCAAGAGGAGTCGAACCAGCGACCTCTCTCTTCTGTTCTTTTGAAAAACCACGCGTGCGTTAACCACTCGGCCAATAGAAGCCGTTTAAAAGCGGTTTTCCTGGGGAGGTCTTTCGAGTGACCGTGGCGCAGTGCGGGTGCACTTGTCTCTAGCCCACGCGGTCCGGGTTCGACTCCCCTCCGCGTCTTCACTTCGGATTTTTAATATAAAAACATTTTGCACAACTAGATGAAATTGTCAGCTAAACTAACTATAAGTTATTTGACTGGGTCATTGAGAAGGTTCTATTCTGTTCTCTTCTACGTAAATGTTCTGTAAAGGCTCACTGGGTCACTGGGAAACTAGGCCCGGAGGAGTAGTGAGCACGGAGAAACAGACAGACGTAGACTCTTAGATCTACAGTACTCTTAGATCTACAGTACTTATACTTATCTACAGTACAATACAAGAACCTATACAAGAAACTATACAAGAACCTATACAAGAACCTATACAAGAACCAACCTTGTTTCCATCTTGTCCTCGATCTCCAGCCGCTCCGTCTTCTCCAGGGGCTCCAGGTTGACCCTTAGGTCCAGCGGCTTAAAAAGTTATCTTTACTACTGTACTTTACTATTGTAAAATCTATCCAAAAGCTTATTTTTAAGTGATATGCAAGCTTTTTAAAACCCACGCCCAGCTGGGCATCCACCAGAAGAGGCGCCGCACTGGCACTGATCTCCCGAGCGTTTGTTTCGGCCTGGAATTTCAGATATCGATAAGTTTCCCCTGAGCTTTGACATCTAATTTTAATATCTAAGATCAAAATCTACCGAAAAGGATGGCACGAGCCGAATCGCCGGCGGCGGCGCTTGACGAGCGGATCATGTCTTCCCAGGCGTCGTTTGCGTAGACCTGGAGAAGTTAGCGGGTACTTTGTGAGATAAACAAGTTACTATTCCTACAGTTTTAAGATCTCACTTTGAACTCCTGAATATCTCCTAGAGCCGAGTCATAGAAGTTGTTGATGTCGTTGTAGAGAGCGGCGAGGCCGAACAACGCGCCGATCATCACAAAACCGCATCCGAAGGTTGTCACCGTTACGAGAGCCTGCAAAAGGGGTACGGTAATGGAGTACGGTAATGGAGTACGGTAATGGACTACGGTAGCGAAGTACGGTAATAGAGTACGGTGATGGGATACGGTAATCAGGTTGTGCTATAGGTTATAATTGTACCAGAAGCGCCTTGCTAGGGTACGGTATTAATCCGTTACATTATAAGCAACGATAATAACTTGCACTAGGATTTATAGGTAAACTCGAAAGCCTAAGTCTAAGCCTAAGTCTAAGCCTAAGCCTAAGCCTAAGCCTAAGCCTAAGCCTAAGCCTAGGTCTAAGCCTAAGCCTAAGTCTAAGCCTAAGCCTAAGCCTAGGTCTAAGCCATAGACTTATCCAAAGCCTACAATCCCGCAAGCTTGTAGAGTTGATTTTTGAGTGCCTAGGGCCGGGGATACCTTAGTTAAAACTGAACAAAGACTGAGAAAAAAGTCAAACAGAGTTACGGGCATATATTAACAGTTAAAGTACGAAATTACAGTGAGAAAGGTACTGTAGTTCTAAAAGTTCTAATGCTAAGATTGCACGAGTATTTCTAGCTATAATAATCCTTAGTAATCCTGGTAAACAAGCTACAAGCCTACAATCTACAGTAATCCTACAAGCCCCAGAATCCTACAAGCTACAGCTCCAGAATCCTACAGACTCCAGAATCCTACAAGCTCCAGAATCCTGCAAGCTCCAGAATCCTAAAAGCTACAGTAATCTTAAACTACAGTACTCCTAAGAGCTACAATAATCCTATAAAATCATACAGTAATCTATAGAAATAGCCTTCATAAAATAAACCTTTGTGGACATCTTTGGTGTGGGTGATTCAAAATGTGAACTTTGCCACTCAAACTTTCCTCATTTTCTTTCTATTTATAGTGAAAGGGGAGTGAAACGGGAGATCCAAGGAGAAACTGAGAAAAGGAAGGAAGAGGAGGAGATGACCTCGACACAATGAACAAATCTATCGAGAGTCTCGAAGAAGAGATCGAAACTCTTTCAGTCAAAAGATTCATCGCCACTTGACTGCCAACTTCTTAGCTTGAAACAGAACATTTAAATAGAAAAGAACAGAATAGAACCAAAAAACAAGTCTCAATTTACAAAGTGTGAGCTCAACAGCGCTCAGCAGCGCTCAACAGCGCTCAACAGCGCTCAGCAGCGCCCAGCAGGGCTCAGCAGCGCTCAACAGCGCTCAGCAGCGCTCAACAGCGCTCAGCAGCGCTCAACAGCGCTCAGCAGCGCTCAACAATGACAGATTTTTCTCTATCAACTGTTAAACCCAGCGTTTAGCCGTTCAGGAATCGACTTTAGCCGATGCATAGTTTAATTGCTGGAAAATTTACGAGAGTTTGCTAATTTAGTACAAATCTCAATGTCAATAACTAAAGGAAGTTTGAGAGGCGAATTTTCGCGTTTAGCCGAAATTCGTCACTTCAAAAACCTTTAAACTTTTCCACTTTCACCGCTTTTTCAAAATACAATCGAACTTCGATATAACAAACTTCGATACAAAAAATTTGAAATTCTGAAACGTGATCAAAATTTCTGCCCCAGTCAAATGCAATCAGTGGTCATCTAGGGCACGTTTTAAGTTCATTGTATCGATTAAAGGGTGCTTTTCGATATACAGGGTATACGCACCGATGGCCTGGTGGATAAGCGGGCTCTCGGTCGTAGGGTCGGGGTTTGCTTTTGGTTTTTGTTTTTTTTTTACTTTAAATGCAATACTTTACAGATTTTTATCCGTTCATTACTCACTGTGATGTATCGGGTTGGGGAAAATGAGTCGGCGCCGAACTTTAAAGGGACTTTTTGCACACATAAAGCCTTCTTTAAACATACGTTTGGTTTCATCAAAAGGATCCACTATTTCTCTACAAAATCACTTTTGAGAGATTCCACAAAGCTTTTCTTTCGTGGAGTTTATGAACTTCCAAACGCAGCTGGTTAAAATGGCAAAGAGTCCGACTCATCATTTGAACAGTTTCTTTCACATAAACCTTCTTTGGTGTTTATATAAAAAAGATAGAGCACATTCAATTACTTAAGTTGCCAAATTTGCAGGAAGATCCCACCAATGGTTTTTTCTAGATGACAATTTGTAGTTTTTGTGGAAAGATGACCTTTTCTTGAGCGGAGGCGCTGTTTGAATTTTATTTTAAATGTCATTTTGTAGAGAATTAGATAACCATTCGACTGATATCAAAGGCATATTATTTGACGAAGTCGAATAGAAGTTTTAGACATTTTTTTGATTTTCGGCGCCGACTCATTCTCCCCAACCCAATAATTTGTAAAAAAGTACGCACTTCGTCTTTGCTTTTATCAGGCTGTGAAATCTTGGATGCTTCGTGACCTCGTTTAACATATGTTTTAATAGGTTGATGCATAAGTGTTTTCGTTCCTTTTCGTCTGCCGTTTCAAGCCAACAAATGCACGAATTAAACTACGGTTGATTTCATTAGAAAAAGCAATTATTTTTCTGCAAAATAACATTAAAACGGGTTTAAAAATATTGAATGCCTGGATTTTCTTGAGAGTATGAAGTCGGGTAGTCAAAAAGGGCTAACTCGATGATGCGGTTTAGACACCTTAGCTAAAGAAAACCTATCTTCGTGTCAATAGATAAAAGATAGAGAAAACAAAACGTTTGATATTTCGCCAAAATTTCAGAGAAATTCATTGAGCCAATTTTTCCGTAGAGTTTTTTATAGATTTTTACGAAAAAGGCGTTTTTCACTCTCGAATTTGCTTGAAAGTGAACCGAAATTCATTTAAAAAGATGCAAATTGAACAAAAAAACACTTTTTTTATAGAGCAAACTATAGATTAATTGGTGAATTTGTTACTTTTTAACAGAAGTACGAAAAAAACGAAAACACTTATGCATCAACCTAATAACATATGTTAACATTTCACCTTTTTCTTTGTTATATTGAATAGTTACAAGGTAAAGTATTAAATTTAAAGAAAAAAAAACTAAAAAGCGAAGAGCGGGATCGAACCCCGACCCTCCGACCTAGAGGTCGTTCCGCTATCCACTACGCTATCAGTGCATATCTCCCAGTGATTGAAAAGCGCTCTTTAAAGCTTAAATTCTATTTTCTTCAATCCTTAAAAGTTCTTGAAAGTTCGAAATTTCAATTTAATCTTTACGCGTTTGCAAGCATATTTAGAAGATATTGATTTCACATTATGAATCTCTATACTCGATTTTGCAAGATTTATGTAATTCGGAAGCTCACAAAAAGCTCATTCCTTTACCCTAATTGCTTACAGTTACAGGCAATGTTTACAGTAGTTTTAAATCTTTTTATCTTACTTTTACAAGCTTTATTTGACAGCTTTTGATTTCAGATTATCAATCTCCATACTCGATTTTGTAAGATTTATGTAAGCGGGAAGCTCATAAAAATTTTTTGCCTTTACCCTAGTAAGCAGAAAGTGCTAAACCGTAATGTGATCGATTTCCCATGTATATAATCCAGGAACGAAAGCTCACAAAAATTTTTTGCCTTTACCCTAGTAAGCAGGAAGGGTTAAACCGTAATGTGATCGATTTCCCATGTATATAATCCAAGAACGAAAGCTCACAAAAATTTTTTGCCTTTACCCTAGTAAGCAGAAAGTGTTAAACCGTAATGTGATCGATTTCCCATGTATATAATCCAAGAACGAAAGCTCACAAAAAGTTTTTGCCTTTCCCTAGTAAGCAGGAAGTGTTAAACCGTAATGTGATCGATTTCCCATGTATATAATCCAAGAACGAAAGCTCACAAAAAGTTTTTGCCTTTCCCTAGTCAGACCATTATTGTTCTCTTGTTAGTCAATCATCATCATCAATCAAAATTTTAGACTAATCAAATGAAAACTTGCGGTAAAATTACGATAGTTTGTCTAAAATTGTCTAAAAGTTTGTCTAAAAAACTTCAAAACTCTCTTAAACTTAACAGAACCGACGTTTAAAAGCGCCGTTTAAAAGAGTAACCTTTCGATAACCATTTTTTATGTCAAATTTTCATTTTTTTCACTTGATTTTGAACCAATTAATTATCAAGTTCTTTCAAAGAAATCTTGGCATTAATAAGAGAAATCGTAAAGGTTTTTTGGTGGGTTTTTGGTGGGTTTTTGGTAGGTTTTTTTGGTGGGAAAACTTGATCACTTTTCTCGGAGCAAGCCTTTCCAAAAACTTTCCCACTTTTTCACTCCTAAAGCAAAATTTTCTCGGAAACAATGAGTGCATGATTAGAAAAAGAAGACAATAGACTGGATTTCGCTTTTTCGCTTATTTTTCTTCTTTTTCTTTTCTTTCAAAGATGTCTATCGTGCTCGCCTTTTTTTTTTTTTTGTTTTGCTCAATTCATTCTCATTGTTTTTTCTTGACCTTCTACCCCTTTTTTTTCAGCTTTGACACTTTGTTTTCTTTTAGAAAAGTGAAAGCGAAATGACTCCAGAGACTTTTCAAGGACTTTAACTGTCAACTAAATGCTAAATGTTGAAAAAAAAACAGCAAGAATTAGATTAGGGGAAGGGGAATGGTCGTAGAGCGCCGTTTAAAAGAGCGCCGTTTAAAAGAGCGCTGTTCAAAGGAGCGCCGTTTAAAAGAGCGCCGTTTAAAAGAGCGCCGTTTAAAAGAGCGCCGTTTAAAAGAGCGCCGTTTAAAAGAGCGCCAATGCAAAAATGCTCAAAAGAGCGCTAAGTCTTATTAAATTCAATTACTAACTGCGTTTTAACCTCTTTTTTTTCTTGTTTTTTTCTTTAAAACTCCTGTATTGATACTTTTTTCTTTAAAAATCCAAATATTTATAATGAGTTCTTTTAAACGGCACTCTTTTGAACAGCGCCCTTTTGAATGGCACGCTTTTAAACGGCGCCCTTTTGAACAGTGCCCTTTTGACCGGCGCTCTTTTAAACGGCGCTCTTTTAAACGGCGCTCTTTTAAACGGCGCTCCTTTGAGCGGCACCCTTTTGACCGGCGCTCTTTTAAACGGCGCTCTTTTAGACGGCGCTTCTTTGAGCGGTGCCCTTTTGACCGGCGCTCTTTTAAACGGCGCTCTTTTAAACGGCGCTCTTTTGAACGGCGCTCTTTTAAACGGCGCTCTTTTGAACGGCGCTCCTTTGAACAGCGCTCTTTTAAACGGCGCTCCTTTGAGCGGCGCCCTTTTGACCGGCGCTCTTTTAAACGGCGCTCCTTTGAACGGCGCTCTTTTAAACGGCGCTCCTTTGAGCGGCACCCTTTTGACCGGCGCTCTTTTAAACGGCGCTCCTTTGAACGGCGCTCTTTTAAACGGCGCTCCTTTGAGCGGCGCCCTTTTGACCGGCGCTCTTTTAAACGGCGCTCTTTTAAACGGCGCTCTTTTGAACGGCGCTCTTTTAAACGGCGCTCTTTTAAGCGGCGCTTCTTTGAGCGGTGCCCTTTTGACCGGCGCTCTTTTAAACGGCGCTCTTTTAAACGGCGCTCTTTTGAACGGCGCTCTTTTAAACGGCGCTCTTTTGAACGGCGCTCTTTTAAACGGCGCTCTTTTGAACGGCGCTCTTTTAAACGGCGCTCTTTTGAACGGCGCTCCTTTGAGCGGCGCCCTTTTGACCGGCGCTCTTTTAAACGGCGCTCTTTTAAACGGCGCTTCTTTGAGCGGTGCCCTTTTGACCGGGGCTCTTTTAAACGGCGCTCTTTTAAACGGCGCTCTTTTGAACGGCGCTCTTTTAAACGGCGCTCTTTTGAACAGCGTTTTTTGATATACCCCCTGCGTTTGTTGCTCTTAAATTACATGCAAATTTAGAAATGCAAATTGGGAGAACGTGTCGTGTAATCAAGTAGCATATAATCTACTGAATTCTAAAAATTTATTCCAAATTTTTTAGTAAGGATCACTAAAAAGAATCTGTTGGAATTTTCGTCGAATCTCGCGTCCACTATCGCCAGAGAGTTTCGATGAACGAATCGGACAAGGGCAATAGTCACCGTCAAAGCCTAGAAGAACACTATTTCATTCAGTACATTCATCAAATAATTTAACGATAATTGTTTTATAGAAAAACTTATAGAAAAGCTTATAGAAAGGCTTATAGACTATCTTATAGGCTATCTTATAGACTATCTTATAGACTATCTTATAGAATATCTTATAGAATACCCTATAGAATAACTTATAGAATACCCTATAGAATATCCTATAGAATATCCTATAGAATATCCTATAGAATACCCTATAGAATACCCTATAGAATATCTTATAGAATAACTTATAGAATATCTTATAGAATATCTTATAGAATATCCTATAGAATATCCTATAGAATAACCTATAGAATATCCTATAGAATATCTTATAGAATATCCTATAGAATATCCTATAGAATACCCTATAGAATATCCTATAGAATATCCTATAGAATACCCTATAGAATACCCTATAGAATACCCTATAGAATATCTTATAAAACGGATTATTATTGCATTATGTACTAACACATTTATCTTGAATCACTAAAATTTGAAACTTTACAATAAATAAAAGTATAGAAGATGTTCTTAAAAAATTTTAGAACAAGCTAAGCAATTTGATCCAGAAAATCCTGTAAACGGTTGTTTTTACCTTGAAAATTTTACCTAAAAAAAGGTAACAAGAGGTCAGTTTTTTTCTTCTCACAATTTCCTTTTTCAAAAGGATATCGGTTTTTCTTCCAAAACAAATCCTTTCTGACTTTGTCTCGAGAAAAAAAAACAAGTTGTGACTGACGTTTGTTTTTTGAATCATCTTTTTGACTCAGTGATCTTTAACGGTTCTTCTGTCAACATAAAAAAAAAAAAACAAACGTCAGTCACACCTTGTTTTTTTTTTCTCGAGACAAAGTCAGAAAGGATTTGTTTTAAAGAAAAACCTTCAAACAAAAGAAGATTTGTTTCAAAGATATCCTTTTGAATCAGTTTTCCCCAAGGGCATTAGGGGGGAAAAGAAAAGAAAAAAAAACATTTAAGAAATCGAAAAGTGAAATCGGGAATGGAAAGTAGAAAAAGGATAAGTTGAAGGTGGAAAACGGATAAGTTGAAGATGGAAATCGTATCAAAGACTATTTGGTTTTGTTTTCTACTTTCCATAGATCGTAGTGGCCATAATATATCCATCTATGATGTAAAATAGAAGTTGATTAAACCATAAAATCCTACGAAAATCTCAAAGCCAAATCGCTGTACAAATCGGTGGCGCGGTGTTCTTTGCGCGCGCGCACAATCGCTAACCATCTGGCAAACCGCCCCAGTACAAGGTGCTTCTCTTTTCGTCTCGATATCTCATATGGTCCGCAAAGATCTCAATGTGAAATCGGTGTATAAATAAGTGGCGCGGTGTTCTTTGTGCGCGCGTACAATCGCTAGACACCTGGCAAATCGCCCTAGTAGAAGGTGCTTCACTTTTAGCGTCCTTATCTCAAATGGCCGACGAATTCCATCTCTCCTATGACACGATCACTTTGATTTTACGTGACTTGGAAAGGATTTTGAAACGAATTGATGACAGAGGAATTATGAGAGGCCATTTTTGCCATTTTTGGCCTCACTATGCCCCAATTTTTGCCTTGAATTTGGCTATATTTTTGCTACAAATTCTACACCTTGTTAAACGATTGTTTCACTGAAACAGCAGCCAAACAGTAGTTGGGATACGTTTTAGCAAGATCCTTTACCTGGTGCCCCGTCTTGTCCAGGCTCTCCGGATTGTCCATCATTGCCAGCGATTCCTCCAAGTCCAGCATACCCCATTGAACCCTGGATGTGTAAAAATTTTCCATTAAAAAAGTTACTCAGTCTTTAAAGTAATCTTTTCCTTTACCTGAACGCCATCCAATCCTTGTTCTCCATTGGGTCCTGGTTGGCCTGCTTTCCCTGGGACTCCTAAAAAAGGATTGAGACAAAAGCCAAGCATACTGTATGCTATAAGTCCTAACTGCTACAGGACAAGGTTTAAACAACGATAGAGTACTGTATACTGTGAATTGTACCAGGTTTTCCAGGTGGTCCTTGTGGGCCAGATTGAGCGACTTGTTGCATAGCTTTTTTGCCGGGTGAACCAGGCGGACCATGATGTCCGCGCTCGCCTCGGGCTCCTGTTTCACCCATTTCTCCATCGAAACCAAACTTGAATTTAGAAATTATAGTTGCAAGCTATTTACAGCAGTTTTACAGATAAGATAGCTCAAAAATGAGCCAAATTTCTTCTAAAACTGGAGCTCATTGCGTAAAAAGTTCCGGGAATTCATTTGGCATGTTTTTTTAAGCGATCTTTTCGTATCTTTTAGTTTGCTGACCAGATTACTTTGTTCTTTTGAATAATTATTTTGTTTTTGCTGAGTTTTATGTTTTAGGTTATTACTTTCTTTCTTAAGATATTCTTAAGATTTAGATGGCTCGCGCGAAGAGTCTTTGATCAGCCATTGAGCGTTGATCGAAGTTCGGTGTCGCTGGACAATCTCTGGACAATCGCTGAACAATCGCTGAACAATCGCTGAACAATCGCTGTACAATCGCTGTACAATCGCTCAACAATCGCTGTGCAATCGCTGAACAATCGCTGTACAATCGCTGAACAATCGCTGAACAATCGCTGAACAATCGCTGAACAATCGCTGAACAATCGCTGAACAATCGCTGAACAATCGCTGAACAATCGCTGTACAATTGCTGAACAATCGCCGAGCAATCGCTGAACAATCGCTGTACAATTGCTGAACAATTCACCATTCCAAAAAGCACTGTTTACGTTTACTTGACCAAGCTTACCGGTTTGGCAAACGATCGCCAACATTTCTGACGCCCAAAAACAACCACCCCTCTGAATTGTGAAACGAATCCGAAAAGGAACCCAAGATCGATTCGGCAAATGGCCTGAGAAGAAGCGATTGCTAATTTCCAAAGGGTCTGTTCGTTCGATTGTTTGAAGAATTTATAAATCGCCAAGCCAAGAAGCTTCACAAATATCCATACAAGATCCAAAGCCCACAGCTTCACTGATCGCTCTACCGCTCTACTCAAAATATCGATTCCGGGAACTTTTTACGCACCCAGTATATCCATCTAGATTAAAATAAGATTCTAAGCTAATAGATTTCTAATATCTAATATCTAATATCTAATAGTTAATTTACGTCTCCATCAACTCCGGGCACGCCATCGTATCCAGGATTTCCGTCAATCCCTTGTGGACCCGGGTCTCCAGCCGGTCCAGCCGGCCCAGCGGCTCCAATCGGGCAAGGGATACACTGAAATTTGATATAATATATATTAAAAAAAATTATATATTGTGTTCTAATCTATAAGGCTATTTCATAAATGGTGGTTGAGTTGAAAGAAATTTGTTTGAAGCGGCTGTTCGCTTTTCTTTAAGAAAATTGAATCACTCCTTCAAAACAACTCGAGAAATTCCAATCCGCCGTTCCATTTATTATACTTATTTCTTTGCTTATCATAGCTAAAACTGGGCATTTTCATCATCTTAAGCACAGGCAATTCAACAAAAAGCTCATTTATTGCATTTATTTGCATTCTATTCAAAATGGTTTGGATGCAGTCGTTTTGTTTTGAAATATTGGGCTGGTGAATTGAAAATTGCCGGCTATTGCAGTTTGAGCACTTTCTTAAAAAGAAACCCATTTTGGTGTCAATGGAAAAGTTGTAGAGAATCAAAAATCAAGCTTATAACCAAATTTCCAAAAAGATACACTTAGTAGTTTAGCTTAAAATTTGTGTGTTCTCTGTGTTCTTTGTGCGGCCGCGTAATCGCTCGTCGTCTGACGCAGGGCTTTTACATAAGCCCCTTCCCTCTCCCTTTGCCAAAATTTATCTGGCCTGCTCCGAATCCTCAAATTGGACTTCTCCTCAAATCAAGGTTAATCTCAATCTAGCCTGCTCCAATCTATCTAGCCGGGTCCGATCTATTTATCTGGCCTGCTCCGAATCCTCAAATTGGACTTCTCCTCAAATTGGACTTCTCCTCAAATCAAGGTTAATCTCAATCTATTGGGTTGGTGAATTGAAAACTGCGGGCTATTGTAATATGTGACAGTTTGAGCACTGTTCTTCAAAAGAAACCCATTTTGGTGTCAATGCAAAAGTTGTAGAGAATCAAAAATCAAGCTTATATCCAAATTTTCAGAACGATTCAAAAACTGGTTTTCAAGAAATGCCAAATGTTACGAATTTTCACAAAACTTGCATTTTAAGCGAAACTACTAAGTGTATCTTTTTGGAAATTTGGCTATAAGCCTCATTTTTGATTCTCTACAACTTTTCTATTGACACCAAAATGGGTTTCTTTTGAAGAAAGTGCTCAAAAGTGCTACTGGGACATCTCCAGTCCTCCATTTTTGAGTCTCACACTTGTCTCACACACAAACCAAAATCCTACTACGAAAGAGGAATCCGCAAATCCGCAAATTGCCTGTAAAATGGGCAGAAGTCGTCAATAATAATGGAAATTATTTGGAATGAACTGATGGTTTTATGTTGAATAAATTTTAGTTCAAAGTCCGGCAGTTTTCAATTCACCAACCCAATAATTTGAGTTCAAAAATGCTGCCAAGAATGAAATATATATAGAGAATGTAAAATATTTAGAAATATCTAGATAATACTTGTGCATGGAGCGATCCTCTTGCCGCTTGTCTACCCGGTGATCCATTGTGTCCATGTTGACCGGGATATCCGTCCAAACCCGACTCACCCGGCTCACCCTGAGGTCCCGGGGCTAGAAAGGGATTGGAAATTTGCTTTAATTTGCTTTAATTTGTTTTAATTTGTTTTAATTCGTTTTAATTTGTTTTAATTTGTTTTAATTTGTTTTAATTTGTTTTAATTTGTTTTAATTTGTTTTAATTTCTTTTAATTTGTTTTAATTTTTTTAAATTTCTTTTAATTTCTTTTAATTTCTTTTAATTTCTTTTTTCTATTGATTTCTATTGATTTCTATTTGAAATACAGATTTTATCAAGTTTTTGCAAAGTTTATTTAGCATTTACCTCTGCATTCAGCTTTCACTTTCGCATTTTGTTTTGTTTTGATTGTTTTGATTGTTTTAATTCGATTTTACAGTAAAAATTAGCATAATCCAATTATTTAGTCGATAAAACAAGCTAAAAAAGCTAAAAGCTAACAAAGCTAACAATTTTAGAATACATCTAGAGTTTTGAAGGGCATACAGATTCTTAAAATAACATACGTCCAGCTGGGGATAACTCTGAAACATTTCCACAGGCGCATCGTCTTTTCCGATACGGATTCGTTTGTCGTTTCTCTTTTGGCGCTTCCCGTTCGATTTCGATCATCTCATCCCAGGCTTGCTTTGCGTATTTCTAAAAAAATAATTAGCCTTTCATTCGAATGCACTCGTGTACTTGGACACGTCGATCCTTTTATAGGCTGGGACTGGGAATACAAAACATGGTCGGCGCCGGGATTCAAACTAGGCATGGACACTATAAGCTGCAAAAATGACGAACTCTCACACTACAAACGCTTCGAATTTGCAGCAAATCTGCCGGATTGAAGTGATCTATAGTTCAAAAAATAGAGAATCTCAAGAGCTTTTGAATGGATTAAAGCACACCCAAAATATTAATGCTAAAGAAAGTTACAATGGTTTGTAGTCCTGCCTCGAAACGGGCCGTACTGGAGCGTAGTCAAAGCGATCGGATTGTACTGGAGCGTAGTCGAAGCGATCGAGTTAGGCTACAAACCACTGTAACTTTCTTTAGCGCTATTATTTTTGAGTGTTCTTCAATCCATTCGAAAGCTCTTGAGTTTCTCTATTTTTTGAGCTATAGATCCTGTCCGTCCGGCCAATTTGAAGCAAATTCGAAGCGTTTTTAGTTTACGTTTGTTGTTTACGTTTGTAGTTTGTAGTGTTGTTTAGTCTATAGCTAGAATAGGCTGCTGTCGGTCTGAAAGACCAATCAATCAAAAGATTCAGAGAAAAGCTGTCTGTTTGCCTTACAATTGTGTCTGTGTTATGACAATAGTTTGCAGTGCCCATGTCTAGTTGGCGCCCGCCAACTCTCGTTTACCGGGCGAACGCTCGACCAATGCGCTACATCGACACGTATCCAATTGCCGCCAAGGTTAGGGTATGCCTACTCTTGCTCTACTTTTCCTTGTTTACTTACCTTTTAAGCCATAACTTATTTGAAAGCTTCTTTATTTTTAAAGGAAGTTTAAAGGCCGACGAGATTTCTAATTAAAGAAAAAAAACTGAAGAAAGTCGAAAAAATTTGCAATTTACCTGAAAATCTGCGAAATTCGAGAGGCTGTTGGTATGGAAATGCTTAAAATCGAGAAGAATTCGACCCAGTGCGATCATTGAGGAAAGATAGATGACAGTGATTGAAACAATTGTTATCACGGTCAACTCTTTCATTTTTTAGTAACTAGAAGTTGAGTCTCTCGAGAAAGAGTGAGTTTTTAAAACTTTTCACTGAATTGTAATAAAGAAATGAATGGTAAGAAGGGAATTGGGAAGAAAAGGATTTTCGGAGAGTGAATTGAACGCTCGACTTGACTTGACGCTGGTTTGACTTTCCAAGGAATTGGATAAACCACTCTTGAAAGAGTTAACCTTTCAACCACTTTCCAAGGAATTGGAAAAATAAGAAAGCATGCATAAGAGAAGATAAAATTGAGTGCACTAGAAAAGTTGAGTTGCATTGTACCATAGAAAAGACTACAACGACTACACGAGACTACAACAAGAACCAAAAGACCAATGAGACTTTAGATTTGATTTGTTATTGATTGCTTAAGTCTACAATAAAGAAAAGATCTAGAGAGGTTCCAATACGGTTCCTATTCTCATCTAATACGGTTCCAATACGATTCCAATCTGGATCCAAGGATTGAATTCTTGACCTTTTGCTTCCCTCTTCTAACATTCATCGATCTGGACTCAGTTTTTCAAGAGAAAGAAGGGAATACAAGGAAGAGAAGGATTTTCGGAGAGTGGAATGAACGCTCGACGTTTGACTTTCCAAATGGAATTGGACAAACCACTCTTGAAAGAGGTTAACCTTTCAACCACTTTCCAAGGAATTGGACAACACTAAAATAGAGAAAAGGATACTTTCTTCTTCCTTCCAAGGAATTGGACAAATCAGTTCCTAACCAAGAGAAAAATGAAAGAGGAAGGGGAAGAAGAAAGGAAGAAAGGAAGAAAAGAAGGAAGAAAGGAAGGAAGAAAGGAAGAAAGGAAGAAGGGAAGAAAGTATCCTCTTCTCTATTTTTTTCAATCAATCTATAGGCTTTAATTCTGCGATATTACGATGATTCTGTGATCGATTCAATGAATTCAAAAAGAACACTAAAATAGAGAAAAGGATACTTTCTTCTTCCTTCCTTTCTTTCTTCCTTTCTTCCTTTCTTTCTTCCTTTCTTCTTCCCCTTCCTCTTTCATTTTTCTCTTGGTTAAGGAACTGGTTTTTCCAAACTAAACGATCGATAAATTCTTGTAAACAAAAAGCTTCTAATGCAGTTTAAAGTCTTGCTTTTTTCAGCAGAAAAGAAAGTGAGAAAGATGAAGAATTCAATGAATTATTTCACAATTCATTGCACTAGATGGGGGTTTGTTTCTGGGTAGAATTGAGGAACAAAGTACAAGTGAACGATCGAGCTTTTCAAGGCTTTTAAGCATGATTTTCTCGTATTCTAATCGTTTCTCATTTAGACTTAAATGAGGGGAAATAATCGCAAATTCAGCTTTTCCAGATTTTCCAGATTTTCCACGCTTTCCACATTCTTTCTCTCTTCATTTTCATCATAAACATAAAATTTAATGACTCGTAAATGATTTCTCAACGATTTCTCAACGATTTCCCCTCATTTCTCTCTCAAACTTTCCCCTTTTAAGCTTTTAAGATCGCTTTTAAGCTTTAAAAAAACGATTCCTTTACACTACTCTAGTAATAGGCTTATTTAGAATTCAATTTTATCAAAGCAAGACCACTCCATGCCTGGCTTAGATGCTGGCCTGGCTTTATTGAAGGTTCTTCTTCGGCTTAAAAGACTGGCTTAGAAGCCTGGCGTAGAAACCTGGCTTAAAAGCTGGCCTGGCTTTATTGAAGGTTCTTCTTCGGCTTAAAAGTCTGGCTCACAAAGCTGACTCACAAAGCTGACTCACAAATCTGACTCACAAAGTTCTTGGACTCGCCAGAAGTCAACACTGTTTGTCTGAGCTGTCTGATTTGTCTGAGCTGTCTGATTTGTCTGAGCTGTCGCATTCTAATCGTTTCCCATTCAGACTGAAATGAGGGGAAATAATCGTAAATTCAGCTTTTCCAGATTTTCCATGTTTTCCACGTTTTCCAGACCTTTTCTCTCTTCATTTTCATCATAAACATAAAATTTAATGACTCGCCAACGATTTCTCAACGATTTCTACTCATTTCTCTCTCAAACTTTCCCCCTTTATTTTATTCTTTTAACGATTTTGATTCATTCCATTAATTCATTCCATTCATTGCCTTCTATTCGTCATTTGTAGTGATTCGTATTCGACAAAAGAAATCCCATACACAAAACGATTCACCTTTTCAAGACCACAAAGTACTCGAGCATTTAGGCTTTACTTTGTGCTCTCTAACAAACAATTACTTCTTGGCACACTTGCATTTATTGATTTCCATTGATTCCAATCAAATTTTATGATATTTTTACTGTTTCGACTAAACAAATACAAATCCAGTGTGCCAGATATCCGTGTTTTCAAGAGCACAAAGCACGCGACGCTAGCTTTACTTGTGCTCAACTAAACACTCACTTCCTAGCACATTGAAAAGACTTCAGTGGGCCAGAGTGCTCACTTTTCAGAGCACAAAGTACACACTAAAGTACAAAGTACACAAAGCTTTTCATTGTGCCAAATCGACCACGTTCCTAGGAGCTTAAAGTACGTCGATGATTGAGATTTCTTGAGTTCGTTGAATTGCTTTTTTTTTGACTTAAAGACAGTGTTTATTCTAATAAAATAAAAAAAAACTACAGCTACTACAATGATAAAAATGATCATAAAATCGAAATAGAAATAGAAAATATCTTTAAAAGTATTGCTTGCTTGCTTGCTTGCTTCAAATTGGCGTCTGTACTCCGGTGGCTGCCAAAGCATGGCAGAGCTGTTCTTCTTCCTCATCCGATTCCCAATAGGTTCATGGAAAAGGAAATGATATATAGATATAGATAGAATACATGAAAACTTTAAGTCATTATTAATTGATTAACGAAATACCTTTATCATTTGGTGACGTCGACGAGCAAGCCGAATTGCCGGAGAGTCGCGTTGGGCGTTTGTTCATCGACATAGATTTCCTGAACTTTTAAGCTTTACAAAAAAAAACGATTCCTTTACACTACTCTAGTAATAGGCTTATTTAGAATTCAATTTTATGAAAGCAAGATCACTCCACGCCTGGCTTAGATGCTGGCCTGGCTTTATTGAAGGTTCTTCTTCGGCTTAAAAGACTGGCTTACAAGACGGGTTTACAAGCCTGGCTTACAAGCCTGGCTCATAAGTCTGAACCAGACTTAGGAGCCTTGTGAACCACAAGCCTGGTTCACAAATATGACCCACAAGTCTTACTCACAAGCCTGTCTCACAAAGTTCTTGGACTCGCCAGAAGTCAACAGTGCTTGTCTGAGCTGTTTGTCTGGATCTAAACCAGGACCTGACTTGGATCTGGCACTGATCTTGGTTCTGTCTTGGGTGGAATTGTCCTGATCTAGCTTTGAACCAGAGCCCAGCTTGGGTCTGGTCTTGCTTAGGTAAAAAGCTATGATGCCAAAGCCACAATGCCAAAGCTATAATGCCAAAGCTATAATGCCAAAGCTATAATGCCAAAACAAATCAGAAAGCATTATCCCAAATCTTTTACATAATCGTCCTATCTCTGGCCACATCTTGGCTCATCTTTCGATAGTTTGCCATGTTTAGATGGCGCACGATTTTCGGATTGTAGCACTTCGGATCCGAAACCATTCGAACGAGGAAAGATCTAGAAAATTTGAGTAAAAGACGTTGAATTTCAGATAAATCCGAGCATCAGAGCTTGTTTTTAATCATTTGATTTAATCAGAATTCATTTTGAAACGAAACAGAGCTCGTTTTGTATTGAATGAGACAAAAATTCTCTGACCTCTTCGTCGCCAAATCTTTCCCATTTCTCATGCTCATCAGCTCTTCTTTTGATGGCTGCTTTTCGAAAGTCGGCGAATACGGAGAGAGTGGGCCACCCTCAGAGATTTCAAACTGAAGTTTATTGAGATTTTATTGAGATTTTGATATAATAAATGATTCATTAGATTCATTAGATTCTTTTAAAATAACAATTTTATTCAACTAGCATGCAAGAGAAATTCACAAGGCAATAGATAAAACGTTCATTTCCATTTCAAAATCAAATTAAGCCAATTACAACGAATTACAATCAATTACAACCAATTACAAACAATTGCAACCAATTACAAACAATTACAATCAATTGAAATCAATTGCAACCAATTGCAACCAATTGCAACCAATTGCAACCAATTACAACCAATTACAATCAATTACAACCAATTGCAATCAACTACAACCAATTGCAACCAATTACAACCAATTGCAATCAACTACAACCAATTGCAATCAACTACAACCAATTGCAATCAACTACAACCAATTCCAATCAACTACAACCAATTGCAATCAACTACAACCAATTGCAATCAACTACAACCAATTGCAATCAACTACAACCAATTGCAATCAACTACAATCAATTGCAATCAACTACAATCAATTGCAATCAACTACAACCAATTGCAATCAACTACAACCAATTACAATCAATTACAACCAATTGCAATCAACTACAACCAATTGCAACCAATTGCAACCAATTGCAATCAAAAAAGAATCTAATAGTGAAAAGAAGAAAGTTTTAAAATGTACTCGTAACAAAAAAAATAGATATAGAAAAGTTTTTACAAATGATTACAAATGAAAATCTGATTATGGTGGTGATTTTTTGTTTCCTTTCTTGCAGGGCAAAGCTTTTTTTACGCCACGCCAGAGTTTTGCGATGAAATTTGGCTGAAAATTTTCGAAAAATAAGAAAGCATGCATAAGAAAAGATAAAATTGAGTGCACTAGAAAAGTTGGGTTGCATTGTACCATAGAAAAGACTACAACGACTACACGAGACTACAACAAGAACCAAAAGACCAATGAGACTTTAGATTTGATTTGTTATTGATTGCTTAAGTCTACAATAAAGAAAAGATCTAGAGAGGTTCCAATACGGTTCCTATTCTCATCTAATACGGTTCCAATACGGTTCCAATCTGGATTCAAGGATTGAATTCTTGACCTTTTGCTTACCTCTTCTACCATTCATCGATCTGGACTCAGTTTTTCAAGAGAAAGAAGGGAATACAAGGAAGAGAACGATCACCGATTTAACGATAGAGCTCTACTGGAGCTAGAGCTCTACTGGAGCTAGAGCTCTACTGGAGCTAGAGCTCTACTGGAGCTAGAGCTCTACTGGAGCTAGAGCTCTACTGGAGCTAGAGCTCTACTGGAGCTAGAGCTCTACTGGAGCTAGAGCTCTACTGGAGCTAGAGCTCTACTGGAGCTAGAGCTCTACTGGAGCTAGAGCTCTACTGGAGCTAGAGCTCTACTGGAGCTAGAGCTCTACTGGAGCTAGAGCTCTACTGGAGCTAGAGCTCTACTGGAGCTAGAGCTCTACTGGAGCTAGAGCTCTACTGGAGCCAGAGCTCTACTGGAGCTAGAGCTCTACTGGAGCTAGAGCTCTACTGGAGCCAGAGCTCTACTGGAGCTAGAGCTCTACTGGAGCCAGAGCCCCACTGGAGCCAGAGCCTCTACTGGAGCCAGAGCCCCACTGAGCCAGAGCCTCTACTGGAGCCAGAGCTCCACTGGAGCCAGAGCTCTACTGGAGCCAGAGCTCCACTGGAGCCAGAGCTCTACTGGAGCTAGAGCTCTACTGGAGCTAGAGCTCTACTGGAGCTAGAGCTCTACTGGAGCTAGAGCTCTACTGGAGCTAGAGCTCTACTGGAGCTAGAGCTCTACTGGAGCTAGAGCTCTACTGGAGCTAGAGCTCTACTGGAGCCCCAAGTCTAATTCCAAGTTCCCCTACTACAATTACTACAATTAGTCTAAAAAGTCCACTACTAGAGAAATAAAGCACTCGAAATCAAGCTCTATTCTCTCTATTTTCTCCTTACATTACTCATGCGTCTTCTTGTCGGTGAGTGATGATTTAGGACAGAAGTTGTGTCAATTCCTTTCTCCTCAAGCGCCTCCAAGTATTGATCTTCAAGTAAAGGTTCGGTTGAGGTTTCGTCTATAAATTTGCTATAAAGATATTCTTTCAAAACTTTTTACTTACGAATGATATGCTGAGCAGCTTGACTGATGATATCGTAAGCGATCTGAAAGATATTTGCTGATAATCGCTGACTTATAAGCTCGATTACAGCTTAAACATAATCACAATCATCAATCTTCATTGCTAATCGTCATTAGTATTTGGCTGTAACGTGAATGTATTAAAGCGTCTACCCCGAGTCACCGTCTACCCATCTAGCTGAGCTTTGTCAAGTTGTCAAGCTCAGCCTTTCTCTGACTTGGGCAAGTCTATCTTAACCCAAGCCTAGACTGAACCTAGTTCTACCTATTAAATCTCAATTTTCATTGATTGTTGATCTATAAACAAATGATATTCACCTGAATATCCTTATCAGTCGGATTCTCGGCACAAACGCAGAAACGAATGACAAAGCGGTCGTTTAGTGACGCTGGCACCATATGAATGCGTCCAGACGAGTTCAACTTTGTCAACAATTGTTGATTCGCTTCTTCACTTGCCTAAAGCTTTGTTTAGCTTACAGTACAGTTACAGTTCATTTCTTATAAATCACTGAAACAGAGGAAAGTGTTTAAGTTGAGGGAATGGTTCACCGGACCGAACGATTTAGCTGATTTTCGCTGACAAAAGTGATTGGACGATTTCACGATTTCACTATTTTCACAATTGTAAGGATTGTAAGGATTGTAAGGATTGTAAGGATTGTAAGGATTGTAAGCATTGTAATCATTGTAAGCATTGTAAGCATTGCAAGCATTGCAAGCATTGCAAGCATTGCAAGCATTGCAAGCATTGTAAGGATTGTAAGGATTGTAAGGATTGCAAGCATTGTAAGCATTGTAAGGATTGTAAGGATTGTAAGGATTGTAAGGATTGTAATCATTGTAAGCATTGTAAGGATTGTAAGGATTGTAAGGATTGTAATCATTGTAAGCATTGTAAGCATTGCAAGCATTGCAAGCATTGCAAGCATTGTAAGGATTGTAAGGATTGTAAGGATTGCAAGCATTGCAAGCATTGTAAGCATTGTAAGCATTGTAAGGATTGTAAGGATTGTAAGCATTGTAAGGATTGTAAGGATTGTAAGGATTGTAAGGATTGTAAGCATTGTAAGCATTGTAAGCATTGTAAGCATTGTAAGCATCAATCATTGTAAGCATTGTAAGCATTGTAATGTAATGATTGTAAGCAGCTGAAATGCAAACGAGCATCGGCAACACAATGCTCGATTTATTTTTACCCATTCTCAATGGTTCACAAGAAAAACGCTCGCAAAGTTTGGGTGTCGGGAACTCGGGAAATCTCGGGAAATCCCACTTCGGGGATATATCAGCTCTTTCCCATGGCCTTAAACGTGACCAAATGATGCTGAGGTAAGTCTGCGCACTCGTAATCCTACTCTGACTTTTTTTGAGCCTGGTTCAAATCCGGTTGCAAAAATTTTTTTCTTTTTTTTTGCTAAACCTTTAAAAACACTTTTTATTTATTGTAGAATGTTCAATAATAATTTTTAAGAGCAAGTGACATTCAAAAAGTCCAACTAAGCATCTCAGCTGCGTAGCGAAATCCTCCGATCAATTTGGACCATTCCCTTTAAGCCTTTCACCGAAATACATTTTCTATTTGAAGTCTAATTTTTTTTCTAAGACTTACAAGGGGATTTTAGCCGATTGTGGTGATCAGATGGCATAAACGATTCAAGAATTTTGCGCTGATTCCGAATCTGATTTCGGTTTTTGCAACGCAGTACTCTATCAAAAGTTCTAAGCGCTTAAAGTTTGAATGGGATTTGAGAGCTCTCGAGTTTAGAAGCAGATTTTCCAGAGGTCTCGAAAGGCAGTGGTGGCAAAGTGGTAGTCGGCTGGAATCCAAAGGGAGACCTTCCTGGTTCGAGTCCGTGATTCGACATTCTTTTGCTTTTTTAGAGATAATTGATCTCGATTTCAATTAGATTCTATATAATGGTAGATAGCTATTGTCATTGTGCAATAATTGCTGAGAGATAGATAGGATTTCTTGGTATCTTTGGCTTTCTTGGTATCTTTACTCACTCGAATTCGGAAACAAACGAGTCCCATGATGACATCGCCGACGATCTCGAAAATCGGATCCGCTCGCAGCATTGTTTCGAATTTCTTCGCCAGTCGAACGTGCTAGACGTAAAGAGTAAAGAATGTATAAGTTTACAGGAATCTTTGCTAAAATTACAAATCTACAAGCTCTCAACTAATCTAGCGCTGAGCGACGAGCGATAAGCGATTAGATTCTTGATTTCTCAGCTATTCCTACAGTAATTCTAATGCTTTAGTGTTTTGATAAGATTAGCATACAAATAACTCCAGTAAACCTCACCTCTCTAATATATTTCTGCAGTCCCTCGACACCGTAGGATCGAATCACAAACCAGAGTTTAAGAGAGCGGAAACGACGCGATAAAGGAATTCCCCAATGACGGTAGTCGATCGATTTGTCTGTAAAAAAAAGGTAGAGATTTCTATTTTCTAGTTAAGAATTCATCACTAATACAAGATTTCTCCAAATTCATCGAATTTATACAAAATTTACCCATCCATGAGTGCTGCAAGTAGAGCGGATCGACGACGAGCGCTTGGGTGAGTTTGAAGCGATCGCGAACCCTGCAATTAATTGGATCGTGTTAAAAAGTGGCTGTTAAATCAATTAATTCAAAAGTCGGAACCTTTTTTTTACATTAAATTAAGAGATTACTGGTTAAAAAAGTGATTTTCCAGTGTTTTTGTTCGAGAAAATCTGATCGAGAGTGGAACCGAACCAAGGATAAACGGATCCATTGCGCTAGCACACTATCCACTAGGCTACGGAGGCATGCCGGGCAAAAGCCTTACCGTAAATACTGTAATAGTACCCCACCCCCATAATGACGGTGCGGAGTGTTGCGTAGTCTAGCTTTGAACGAGTTTTTCTCGACACTGGTTTACGCTACAATGCTCGCTTTGGTATGAAAAAATAGCCCTGAATCTCAGCTATTTTTTGATACCAAAGACGCATTTTGTAATGGTTAGCACGGTTGATTAGTAAGCGGAAGGTCGAGGATTCGAGTCCCGCCGGTAGGCACGTTTTTGGTCTGCTCTAGTTTCAATTCTGCAAACATTTAGACATTTTGATATCTCAGACTCTCTTCAACATCCATTCAAAGTTATCCCAAAAAGTATTGTCGATGAAATTGCGTATGACTTGCTTTTTCTAACCAGTTTTGTGACCAGTTTTGTGGCGAGTTTTGTTACTAACTTTGTCATCAGTTTTCTGACCAATTTTCTTACCAGTTTTCTTACCAGTTTTGTTTTAAAAGTTCATGCGTGTAATTAAAGCCTTATCCTGGCTTCGAATCAAGTTTTAATCTAGAAATAGTATCTGAATCAAGACTTAGAATCAAGAATCAACGCTAAAGTCAAGCAAAAACGTTTAACTCAACGGTTTAATTCAACGATGTTAGCCTTGGTGCATTGCCTTGATTTAAATCAAGGCAATTTAATATCTTCAAAAAATTACAACTGAATCTTGTGATTAAAGAAATATTGATGTTGATATTACCATTGAGCATTGAGCTTCAACAGCATTTCATTCATAAATCAATCTCTTTCACATTTCAATATATTGGGTTGGGGAGAATGAGTCGGCGCCGAAAATCAAAAAAATGTCTAAAACTTCTATTCGACTTCGTCAAATAATATGCGTTTGATATGAGTAGAATGGTTAACTAATTCTCTACAAAATGACATTTAAAAGAAAATTCAAACAGCGCCTCCGCTCAAGAAAAAGCCATTTTTTCACAAAAACTACAAACTGTGATCTAGAAAAAACCATTGGTGGGATCTTCCTGCAAATTTGGCAACTTAAGTAATTGAATGTGCTCTATCTTTTTTATATAAACACCAAAGAAGGTTTATGTGAAAGAAACTGTTCAAATGATGAGTCGGACTCTTTGCCATTTTGACTAGCTGTGTTTGGGAGTCCATAAACTCCACGAAAGAAAAGCTTTGTGGAATCTCTCAAAAGTGATTTTGTAGAGAAATAGTGGATCCTTTTGATGAAACCAAACGTATGTTTAAAGAAGGCTTTATGTGTGCAAAAAGTCCCTTTAAAGTTTGGCGCCGACTCATTCTCCCCAACCCAATAGTATAATCTATTCCCGGTTTAGACAAGAGTTTTGTGAGAAATTCCCATGACTATTAGGTGCTATTTGGAGTTTGAAGGCAAAAAAGAGGAAAGAAATCAAGGAATTCGGGTTATCTCTCCGACACTAAACACTACAAAATGATAAGCGCCACGAAAATTCATAAATCACAAAGAGAAAAGGGGAAGAGACAACAGAAATTCTTGTTGTCTGGTGGGCTTGCAATTCGTTCATCAAAAGCATCAAAGTTCATCAAATTTTTGAAGCTTATACAGTTAAACGTCGATTCAACGACTCTCGATTTAATGATTTCAATTTTTGATCCCTTAAAAGCTATTTACCTTATAAAGATGTTAGATTTAACGATGAAGAATCCTGGCCTCTTGAGAATCGTCAAATCAAGGTTTAACTGTACAAGGCCAAGATCAGGCCAAGACAAGGTCAAGACAAGGTCAAGATAAGGCCAAGACAAGGCCAAGACAAGGTTAAGATAAGGCTAAGACAAGGCCAAGACAAAGCCAAGACAAGGCCAAGATAAGGCTAAGACAAGGTCAAGACAAGGCCAAGTCAAAGCCAAGTCAAAGCCAAGACAAGGTCAAGACAAAACCAAGACAAGGCTAAGACAAAGCCAAGACAAAGCCAAGTCAAAGCCAAGTCAAAGCCAAGTCAAAGCCAAGTCAAAGCCAAGACAACCCAACCTTCTGGCTTTAGTTTAGTCAGAAAAGTGTTTTAAAGAGATTTTGTTAACAGAAACACTGATTTTAACTTCTAGTTCGTTTTCAGTTTGTTTTCAGTTTGTTTTCAGTTTACTTTGCCAAAAAAAAACCTACTTACGTTTACTTAGTCACGGCTTTTTCAGCCCTCATCTGAGCCAGTTCTTCTAATATAATTTTTTAATACTTTTCAAAAAGAGAACTGTAGTAAATGTGCTAAGCTAAGCACTTACCACATTGTGGAACAATCGAAATTGACGAGCATCCATTTGTTGGGATTTGTGTTGAACGACATCGCGTACTCGATTCCGTTCATCAATGGCCGAAACTCGGGACAGATCATCGCCGAGCCGGCATAAGCTGCGTCTACATGGAGCCACAATCTGGAAATCAGATGCTGAATCAAGCAAAGTTGTTGATCTAGTTGTTGATCTAGTTCATCTAGTCCTTCATCAAATTCTTCATCTAGTTTTCCATCTAGTTCTTCATCTAGTTGTTGATCTGGTTCTTCATCTAGTTCATCTAGTTTTCCATCTAGTTCTTCATCTAGTTGTTGATCTGATTCTTCATCTAGTTCATCTAGTTCTTCATCTAATTCTTCATCAAGTTTCCCATCTAGTTCTTCATCTAGTTCATCTAGTTCTTCATCTAATTCTTCATCAAGTTCCCCATCTAGTTCTTCATCTAGTTCATCTAGTTCTTCATCTAATTCTTCACCTAGTTCTTCATCTAGTTCCTCCTCTAGTTCCTCATCAAGTTCCTCATCTAGTTCATCTAGTTCTTCATCTAATTGCTCTTTTTAATGAAAACACAAGTCTGGCACACTCAGTGAACCGAAATTCGATGAATTTCCGGGTTCTAGTCCGTTGGGGGTACTTTGAATGATTAGGCTACAAAACTATCACTCTCTAAGGCTACGAAACTTTATCTGAAATCTTATCTTTTTTAAAAAGGAGACTTGTTGAGGCTAAAATATACAATAATAGAGTTTGATAACAAACAAACTACAAACAATTTAAAAGAAAAATTTATTAAAATAAATTGGCAAAGTAAGGCCGAAGTGGGCTCAGTTTCTTTCCCTCTCTTTCCCTTTCCCACCTTATACCAAAGCAGTTTGCTAGATGGAGAGCGATTGTGCGCGCACAGAGTACACCTCACTTTTGACAGGGATTTTTCTTTTGCTTTGAGAATGGCTCAGAAATGAGATTTAGTCTTAGAAATTTGTGTCTGGGGGTTTTCGGGGTCAGGGAATCGTTTGGCGGGGTTTATTTTGACCCATAATCAGTGAAAAGATATCTTTAACTGTCTAAAATTGATAACGATATCAGCTCCTTCTATTAGAATGATGGGATAGTAAATATGGTCAGAACAGAAGCTAACGAAGCTACCAAACTCGACTTTTTTCTGGCCTTATCAAGCTGTATTTTAAATGGAAATTTATATATGATTCAATAAACGCACTCATTCTCCTGGCAAACGGGTCCAATCTCGGAGAGCACATCGAATGAGCAGCAACTCGTTGTGCCTAAAGTGGTCGACACGAAGAATGGGATGAGGCCAAGGTTACGGTCCTCCTGAAAAGAAGAAGTTAAATGATGTCTGTCCGTCTGTCTGTCCGTCAATCCGTCTGTTCTCAGCGCTTCTTGGTCCGATTTACATGATTTTTAGTTTCTTAGGCTTAAAATCTATGTAGTTATGCATCCCACATCTCGTTTTTTTAAAAAACGAAAGCCATGGCACAGCCGGGAGTCGAACCCGGATCACGTGAGTTGTAGACCAGCGAGCTCCCGACTGCGCCACGGGGACCATTTGCCGACAACGGCAAAATCTGCTCTTAAACGGGTACTCGGCTTTTTCGGCTAGTATTTGATCAGCCGAAAAAGTCGAATACCCGGTTAAGACCGAGTTTTTGTGGGCGTCTCCGGATGGTCCCCGTGGCGCAGTCGGGAGCGCTTCTTGTTTCCAGCCCACACGATCCGGGTTCGACTCCGGGGTTCGACTCCCGGCCCGTGTGTTTCAGTAAAAACTTATCAAATTTTATTTTTCCTTACCTGTATCGCGTTTCTCAATGTCTCTCCACGTAAACGAAAGCGGCTATCAGTCTCCAAAATTCTCAACTTCACCATACCGATCATGCAAGCTTTTTCAACGGATGAGTGTGCCTGTAAAAATTAGGGGAAAATTTGTACAGCAAAAAAGCACAGCAAAAAAAGCACAACACAAAAGCACTGCATTTTCGCATAGTCCTGTACCTAGTATTGCTATATTTTCAATAAATTAAGCATAAAGCTTCTAGAAATTGTTACAATTCTGCATATGACTCTACGATAAACCTCTTTCGGTCCCGTAGCCATATTTAGCCTTAGATAAAGTTTACCACTCGCTTAAGGCTGCGTTCTCAGGCAACCCGACTCCAAGGAACGACCGACCGACTCCGTCACCACTCGTACAGGACTTGCACCTTCTCTGATCTATGGCCCCAGTCAAAGGGACTTTGAGTAAGTGATGGCGCCGGATAGCCGCACCTATACGCTACATTTCCCCGCGACGAAAAGCCAAGGGATTCAGGACTCTACGATAAACCTCTTTCGAGCAGTAGGCGATCAATTTCGAGAGCAAAAGTCCCTCTTCAACAAACGGGAAACGATGTCTCAATTCTTTCATCACTTCGAAACGAGCTGCCAGCAATGAGACGAAATTGCATTCGGATGCTGAAGCCTGAAAACAACGGAAAGTAAGCTGAAGATTTGAAAGGTACAGTACTGGACAATGAAATATGATATTTGAAAAACGATCGTCACTTTAGCGCCTCTGTAACTCCCTTGTCTTTGCGTTTAAACTATTAGTGTTATACATTTTCTGAAAGCTCTTTTCAAGGGCTACACAATGGTAATATTAATATTTAGAAATACGGTAAAGACAAGGGAGTTACAGACGCGCGAAAGTGACGATCGTTTTTCAAATATCATATTTCATTGTCCAGTAGTGTAACTAACTAACTAACTAACTAACTAACTAACTAACTAACTAGCTGTACCTAGGAATGTTTATTTAACTAGCTAGCTTCATAAATGCTCAAATCTTGGCCTTAATCTGCTTAGAAACTAGATTAGAATACGGTAACTTGGTCATAAGATCACCTATCGTAACTCAGCTGAGTCAAGGAATACGGTAGTCAAGTAACGACGGTACAGTCCCGTAGTCGTTACGTTTTTGGATAACGTTTTTGGATAATTTGATGAAGAATCAATGATAAACTCGAGTTAAACCGAAAACTAATTCTTCTTTCTTTCTTTCTTTCTTCCTTCCCTTTATCTTTCCTTCTTTCTCTTGACAATTCAATGAATAGCTCAGTGGTTAGAGCAATAGAGAAGCAAGAGAAAGAGCAAGAGAAAGAGCAAGAGAAAGAGCAAGAGGATAGGAAGAGAAAGAGCAAGAGAAAGATCAAGAGGATAGGAAGAGGAAGAGCAAGAGAAAGAGCAAGAGGATTGGAAGAGGAAGATCAAGAGGAAGAGCAAGAGGATAGGAAGAGGAAGAGCAAGAGGAAGAGCAAGAGGATAGGAAGAGGAAGAGCAAGAGGAAGAGCAAGAGGATAGGAAGAGGAAGAGCAAGAGAAAGAGCAAGAGGATTGGAAGAGGAAGAGCAAGAGGAAGAGCAAGAGGATAGGAAGAGGAAGAGCAAGAGGAAGAGCAAGAGGATAGGAAGAGTCAGGCTTCAATCTCCACTCCGAAAATCTACAAATGGTGGATCAGATTGAAAATATGGTGGATAGGATTGATGAATTTGTTAATGCAGTTTACAATTGATCACCTGTATCACTCCTCCACCCATTCCATTCTCCGTAAACGGCAGAAACTCTTTGGGTAAACCAATCATTTTCCCGAACCACTCCAACATAATCATCTCGAGTTCGGTCATCGCTGGACATGCAGCCTGAACATTCTTCATTCATCTTTTCAACAAAACAATGAAACTAAAGCTTACAGGAAAAGATTGCTTAAGTGATAAAGCAAGCTTTTCTAGAAGAGGAAAGAAAGCTGAAAGAAAGCTGAAAGCAAAGTTCAGAGTAGAAGGTCAGAGCTTACAAGAGAGCTTTAGAATTATTCCAAAAAATAGATTAGATAAGCTTTTAAATAGTGTAACTAGTAACTATTGAATAGTAACTATTGAATTGAAGCAAAAGAAACATTCGATTCAATGCAAATCGAGCTCACCCAGCTGAATCCAACACATCCAAGTGCATCGCTAAGCATGTCAGCGAGAATTGATGGCCACGAGTTTCCTGCCGGGAAATAGGCATGGAAACGAGGATGTTGCCAATGGGTAACCTGTAGAAGATTCAGAATTTGAATAATTTTAGTTTATCAATTCAATTTAGAGAATATTTTAGGTATTAAAAGATTCTAGGCCTTCTTTAGGCCATTCTAGGCCTAACACTCACTCCAGGCATAATGAACTTCTCGAAGTCGTCGAGAAGTCGCTCGTATCCTTCTCCTTTTGCCGGTGGCTCGTTTGGAATCAAATCTTTCAGATAGCTAAAGAATTTCATTCTTAGCTTTAGCTTTTAGCTTTTGGCTTTAGCTTTTGGCTTTAGCTTTAGCTTTTGGCTTTAGCTTTAGCTTTTAGCTTTAGGCTTTAGCTTTTAGCTTTTAGCTTTAGCTTTTAGCTTTAGCTTTTGGCTTTAGCTGTTGGCTTTAGCTTTTGGTTTTAGCTTTAGCTTTTAGCTTTAGCTTTTGGCTTTAGCTTTAGCTTTTGGCTTTAGCTTTTGGCTTTAGCTTTTGGCTTTAGCTTTAGCTTTTAGCTTTAGGCTTTAGCTTTTAGCTTTAGCTTTTGGCTTTTGGCTTTAGCTTTAGCTTTTAGCTTTAGCTTTTGGCTTTAGCTGTTGGCTTTAGCTTTTGGTTTTAGCTTTAGCTTTTAGCTTTAGCATTAGCATTAGCTTTAGCTTTAACTTTTAGCTTTAGCTTTTTGCTTAGCTTTTGATGAGTTCGTTTACTAATCAATCCAGAAGACAAACACATCCCTTCTGCCGCATCTGTGCCATTTTCTAGAAGAACAACAGTTCAAGAATCGAGGCGAGGCCGAAAACGCTTTCCAGCAGTTTATCGACTCGAGAACGCCAAATTTCTATTCTAGTGAAATTGGAAAATTGTTTCGCGTTGGCAGCAGTGTATAGATGCTGATGGTTTTTACTTTGAATAAATTCATTTGTTATTGACTTTTAGTTTTGGACTTGAAGTTAGAGGCTCCAAATTTCGATTATTTTCCCACCAACCTAATAGTCATCTAATTGCTCTTTTTAATGAAAACACCAGTCTGGCAAACTCAGTGAACCGAAATCCCAGCTATTCTTTTCACCCAAACCCAAATCCAAAAAGAAAACTGAAGCCTCACAATACGCCAGAAAGGTTGTGTTTGTCGAACAAAGTCGAAAAAAGTCGAACAAACCCGGGCTCAATCTGCGGGACAACCCGTCGCTTGTGAATGTTCTCCATGTAGTCAGCGATGTACTCAATGGTGTTCTTTCCGTGTTCCCGGAACTCTCCGCGAGTCATTCCGTGTTCTCAATTAGAAAAAACTTTAGCGTAGCTCTTTACTTTGAAAAGCCAGTTAATCTTATTTTCGAATAGCTACAAACTACAAGTTCAAACTATAAATCCTTATAGAAACGCGTAGAATAGAGCTTTTTTAAAACTCTTTTTACCAAAAGATCGAGTAATTTCTAGGCTTTTCAATAACGTAAAAATCAAGAAAATTCATTATTTCTAGCCAGAGAACAAGCTATTTATAGCCGTCTCACGAGAAAAGACTATAAGCCTGTAAAGAAAACGTTAAATCTCAGCATAGAAAATGTGATTTGTTTTAATTTTTATTTCATTTAAAAGCCTATAGATTTCTCAATCTTTTGATTAAAAAAAGCTTTCAAAAATCTTTAGTCTACGTGTTTCTACAAGGATTTCTAGCCGAAATATCGTTAGAATCAATTTTAACTTAGCTATTCTAGTTTTTAGTTTAGAAAACTAGAGAAAAGACAAAGCCTAATTTGGTTTTTAGTTTAGAAAAATTACTGTATAATCGATTACTGATTAGTATAATCATTTTTTTTGTCTCACCAGTTCTGTCGGGCATTTTTTCCTCGTTTTGTTCCGTTTTATTCTTCACCGAGCCGCTTCTTTCGTTCAACGATTGGGTTTTTTGCTGTGATTGCATTTCTAAAGATAAAATTTCTTTCAAATCTTTAGCTTTAATAGACGATTCGGCTCTTGCATAGTTTCCGAATATTTTAAAAGAATCTGGGTCTTTTGAAAGAATCCGCGTCTTTTGAAAAAATTCGCGTCTTTTAAACGAGTCATCTCACTTTGAAGGTCTATAACTTTGTCTAGATATTATATTATTCTTAGCTTTTTATATCGTTGGAAAGAAGAGATTTCAGGCTTTCAAACTTTATCAAATAGAGCTGGATTTGACTAAAAGACCATAAAGAAAATTGATTTGAAAATTTTAGCATTTTTACCAAGCATTTTCAATGGATAGCCGCGCTTTAAGGGCCCATAACTTTGCCTAAGCATAATATTATTCTTAACTTTTTATATTGTTGAATAGAGGAGATTTCAGGCTTTCAAACGATACCAAATACAGCTAGATTGACTTTTTCACTCCCATGCAAAACCACGCGACACGACACCCGAATTCGATAGGCCTCTTTGGTTGAGTTGGCTCTGATTTTCTTGAACTGGATTATCCAATCAAGCTCTTTCTGGTATCATTTAAAAAGCCTGAAATCTCCTCTATTCAACGATATAAAGAGTTAAGAATAATATAATCTCTGGACAAAGTTATAGGCCTTCAAAGGGTGACGACTCGTTCAAAATACCCAGATTCTTTTAAAAGACCCAGATTCTTTTAAAAGAACCAGATTCTTTCAAAATAACCGAAAACTAGGAAATAGGCGATTATTCAATAAAGCAGCTACCGTAATCTTAAATAGAAATTCAAAAATTATAGAAAGTGGTTATTTCTAAAGTCGTAATGGCTTGAGTTTCCGTAAAATGGATGAGCTACCGAAATCGAGGCTATATAAAGTAATTGTAGTTATAGGTTTTTTAAAAATCGCTTAAAAAAACTCGATTATCGTAGGATCAATGTGCTTAAACATGTCAGAATTGTCAGAATACCCAAAAAAGGTTACCGAAACGCGAGTCAAAACGGTCAAAAGTCAAAACGGTAGCACTTTAGAAGTGTATTTAATGAGAGAAAATTGAAAAGCCTGAAGCTAAAAGCCAAAAGCTAAAGCTAAAGCCAAAAGCTAAAGCCAAAAGCTAAAGCCAAAAGCTAAAGCTAAAAGCTAAAGCTAAAGCTAAAAGCCTAAAGCTAAAAGCCTAAAGCTAAAAGCCTAAAGCTAAAAGCCTAAAGCTAAAAGCCTAAAGCTAAAAGCCTGAAGCTAAAAGCCAAAAGCTAAAAGCCTGAAGCTAAGAGCCTGAAGCTAAGAGCCTGAAGCTAAAAGCCTATAAAGCTAGACTTCAAGAATGAAAAGACTTCAAAGATTTTGTGCAAAATCGTTTTCAAAGATTTGGTGTTTGTAGGGGTGAAGAGGGGGAGAAATCGCCCACTCGAATCGACTGATAGCAATGTTTTCTCAATTCTCTTCATTTTCTTTCCCCCTTTTTCTCTTCAATTATTTTTGTTTATTTGTTTGCCTTGATATGGGAATGATTAGTGCAAAAGAGAGATTTTTTTTTTGTTAAATAAACTCTTTAATTTACTAAGCGATCTATTAAGGTCGATCTTTGTGATTAGCTAAAGCCTTTTTGAAAGTTGAAAGATTGAAACAGACTGAATCATCGCACTAGTTCCCTACTAGAAAAGTCATCTGTAGATCTTGATTTTAATTGATCTGTAGGGTTATCTGTAGAGCTGTAGGACGCTGTAAATGATCTGTAGGTACTGTAGGGCTATCTGTAGAGCTGTAGGACTCTGTATCTATCTGTAGATACTATAGGGTTATTTGTAGAGCTGTAGGATGCTGTAACTGATCTCTAGATACTGTAGAGCTATCTGTAGAGCTGTAGGACGCCGTAACTGATCTCTAGGTACTGTAGGGCTATCTGTAGAGCTGTAGAACTCTATATCTGATCTCTAAATACTGTAGGGTTATTTGTAGAGCTGTAGAACGCTGTAACTGATCTCTAGATACTGTAGGGCTATCTGTAGAGCTGTAGGATGCTGTAACTGATCTGTAGGTACTGTAGGGCTATCTGTAGAGCTGTAGGATGCTGTAACTGATCTCTAGATACTGTAGAGCTATCTGTAGAACTCTAGAACTCTATATCTATCTCTAGATACTGTAGAGCTATCTGTTGAACTGTATCTGAAGAACTAATCTCTGGGAACTTTAGGATTAAGGAACCACCGTCATCCACGTCACTGAGACGACTGTAACTTCGATCAGCTACCAAACAAGGGAACGACGCCAGCTCGAAGTTCTTTGCACCGATCTTTGCAAGGAACTATTCTAACTTTATAAACCTTTGTTGAAATCGATGACCTATTTTGAGAATTGCAACTTTTATGAAGATTTTTCGAATTTGTGAAAGAGAGAGAGACATAAAAATTTAATGCAAAGACATCAGAAAAAGAATTTTCTAAAAAATGAAAATTCCGGGGGTGGATTCGAACCCAAGCAAAAAGCTCATCAGTAAAGAATAGTAGACAAACAGACTATCCTCTGGACTGCCGAATCCGTTTGAGACGGAAGCAGTTCATATAAGTTCTAAGCAAAGTTATGGGCTCTCAAAGGCGGGGCCGCTGATCTCTGATCCCCGAAATCTCTGCCCAATTTTTTTGAATCAATTTTTGAGATCAATTTATTCTATGATCTTTTAGTTGAATTAGGCCAGGTTTAGTATCATTTAAAAGCTTGAAATCTCCTCTATTCAACAATATTAAAGGCTAAGAATAATATTGTCTCTAGACAAAGTTATGGGCCTTTAAAGCGCGGCTATCCCTTGAAAATGCTCGGTTTTCAGCTCAATGCCACTAATCATGATCAATTTTCCCTATGATCTTTTAGTCGAATCAGGCCATGTTTAGTATTGTTCAAAAGCCTTAAATCTCCTCTTTTTAACAATATTAAAGGCTAAGAATAATATTATCTCTAGACAAAGTTATAGGCCTTTAAAGCACGGCTATCCATTGAAAATGCTGGTCAAGAGCTTTAGTAAAGTAGCCGTTTGAACTTTGCTTTGTGGCGGCGCTATGAAGAGTTTGAAGAGGGGAATTTTAAGAGAACTTTCTGCGAGATTTCTGCGAGACTTTTGGGTGTTTGGAGTTAGTTTTTAGTGATTCAAAAATCAGCATAACCGATTCTACGAGATGATGACGTGACGTGACGTGATCTCAACTTCGAGCTAGTTTCATTGTAAGGTAGTTAGTCCAACAGCTAGTCTATTCTTGTTCAAGAAAGGCTAGCCAAGAAAGCCAAGCCAAGCCAAGCAAGGCCAAGCCAAGAAACCAAAGTAGCCAACCTTTAGTCTCTTCTGGATCGAGCAGGGTTGAGGTGCCTGATGTGGATGAGCGATCGGATTGATTAGAGGCTGGTCCTGGAAAGCTTATTTTTGATTATTTGATTATTTGATTATTTGATTATTTGATTATTTGATTATTTGATTATTTGATTATTTGATGTCAATTGTATTCCCAAATATTTCTTTAATTTTAGATCTAAGAAACAAGCGTACTGATGCTAATTTATTAGCGTTTCTTCTGAGAACTTACTAGAGAACGTTGCTAACTTGTCGTGACTTTTAAATCGCAAAATAGCCTATCTAATGCAGCTTTTCACGCTGATTCCAAATCTGTAATCAGTTTTTGCCAAACGCTTCTCTATCGCGAGATATTTGGCATACAGTTATTTGGCATATAGTTTTTGTTTAGACTACGAAACGCTAGAGAAATAAGCTGAAGAATAAACTTTAAGAATAAGCTTTAAGAATAAGCTTCAAAAATATTTCCAATAAATTCGAGAGTGAGTCAAGCTTTTGATAGATGTTTTTTGATTTACTTGAAGGCGAAAATGATTCCCGGATTCGATTCGTTTTCTCGTGACAAAATGAGTTGAAACGAGTGAACGCCTGATTTAGTTGTTGTCCATAAACCATCGATGAGGGGAAACGAAAAGATTTCGGATCGAATCGGATCGGATCTGATCGGATTGAATCGAATCGAATCGGATCAATAGAATCGGATCAATCGGATCAATCGGATTGAATCGAATCGGATCGGATCAATCGGATCAATCGAATCGGATCAATCAAATCAATCGAATCGGATCAATTGGATCAATTGGATCAATTGGATCAATCAGATCAATCGAATCAATCGAATCAATCGAATCGGATCAATCGAATCGAATCGGATCAATCGAATCGAATCGGATCAATCGAATCGAATCGAATCGGATCAATCGGACCAATCGAATCGAATCGAATCGAATCGAATCAATCGAATCAATCAAATCAGATCGAATCAGATCGAATCTAGAATCTAAAAAGATATTTTTGTTTCAAATTTGCTAAATTTAGTCGCTCAAAAGTACAAAAACACTTGAGATCAATGAGAAAATTGAAATTAAACTTTGCAAAACGAGTTTTAATCAAAAAGAAGCTCTCTCCCGTAGCTCTTTCCCAGTTACAGTAATCCGAAAGCTTTCTGGAACTTTCTGGAACTTTCTGGAACTCGCTGAAACTTTCTGCAATTGAGTTTGAGTGAAAAAAAAATGGAAGAACTGAATCGAAGAATCGAAGAATCTAAGAATTCAAGATTACGATAGCTTTAGAAGGATTCTTTTTCTCTTTTTCTTTTTTTTTTTTTTTTTTTTTTATAAAGAAATGTCTGTTCTGGACAAGTTTTTTAAAAATAAATTGGAAAATAAATTGAAAAATGACGAGAATGAGACGAAGAAAGTGCAAATCGAAGGGTTTTGAAAATGATTGAAATTCCAAATTCGTGCACTTGACAGCTCCATTACTGATGAAAGCTCTTCAAAGTTGAGCAAAAGAAAAGCTATAAATGACGATGGAAATTGAAGGGTTTTAAGGGTTTTGAAAGGGGCGAATTCTTCAAGAAGTTAATGCATTTTTGGAAAAGTATTCTTGGAGACTCAACCTATTAGCTTTTCAAAAGAAATCTAGAGAAATAAAACTAGTTTCGAATGGAAAAGTTGAGATTTTCCAGGCATTCGCAAGCTCGGCTAGAAGTTGGACGCAAAACTGATGGCCAGGGTACTGTAAGAGATGCTGTAGCTAATCCAGGACTACTGTAGCATTACTAGGCTTACTATAGATTTACTGTAGGGATACGGTCGCTAATACTGTAGCCGATATAGTGATTAGTGGCATTGAGCTGAAAACCGAGCATTTTCAAGGGATAGCCGCGCTTTAAAGGCCCATAACTTTGTCTAGAGACAATATTATTCTTAGCCTTTAATATTTTTGAATAGAGGAGATTTCAAGCTTTTAAATGATACTAGACATGACTTGATTCGACTAAAAGGTCATAGAGAAAATTGATCTCAAAAATTGATTCAAAAAAATTGGGCAGCGATTTCGGGATAACTTTGCCCCTACTTTGAGAGCCCATAACTTTGCCTAATCATAATATTATTCTTAGCTTTTTATATCGTTGAAAAGAGAAGATTTCAGGCTTTTGAATGATATCAGGAGCTTAATTTTTTAATTGAGTCCAAGAAGAGCAGAGCCAACTCCGAGCAAATCGGCCCATTCGACTCGAGGAGCGAACGAGTCATCTCACTTTGAAGGCCTATAACTTTGTCCACTCATCATATTATTCTAAGCTTTTTATATTGTTGAAAAGAGGAGATTTCAGGCTTTTGAATGATACTAAAAAGAGCTTGATTTGACTGAAAAATCATGGAGAAAATTGATTCCAAAAATTTGGGAACAGATTTTTCTTTTACCCCAAGAAGCTCTCTTGATTTCTGGGGATTTTGTAGTCGAAAAAACCTCTATTTTGTATTATTTGAAAGGTTGAAAAAGATAATATGCTGTAGTTTTGTGTGAATTTTCTTTTTTCGCTTTTTAAATATTCTGAAACGTTTATTCTGGATAGTGGGATTTGAAAAAAAAACGAAATAAGGACATAAAAGTTGGACTTAGATTTCGGAAAGAATCACAGGGGATCGGCAGGAGAAAAAAATCAAAGAAAAATAGGAAAAATGAAAGAAAAATGAAAGAAAAATGAGGAAAATCAAAGAAAAATAAGAGGAAAATAAGAAAAATGAAAGAAAGAGAAGAAAAATGAAAGAAAAATAAGAAAAATGAAAGAAAAATGAAAGAAAAATAAGAGAAATTAACTAAAAACCAAGGTTCATTTAGTAAAAGAATTGAAAAACAAAAGAAATTTAGCCTAAATTTAGAAAGAATCAACAATTGAATACTATTTTCAGAAAAATCAACCCGTTTTTGTTCAAAGAAAACTTGAAAAATGTCGATTTTTATCAAATTCTGTGGGGGTGGGACAAATGCGACCTTTTTTTGCGCACCCGGACATTTGCGCACCTTTTTTTTTGCTGGAAAAGGCCTTAGGCAAGGCCGTAGAGCTTCGAGAATATTTCCATATAAGGGAATCGTATGCGTAGATTCCGAATTTCGAAAAATCGGACCTCGCTGACACGTCAAATTTGGGCTAAAAGGCAAAAACTACGCAACTTAACGCTTTTCCGCAGTTTTTGCCTTTTAGCCCAAAGTTGACGTGTCAGCGAGGTCTGATTTGTCGAAATTCGGAATCTACGCATACGATTCCCTTATATGGAAATATTCTCGAAGCTCTACGGCCTTGCCTAAGGCCTTTTCCAGCAAAAAAAAGGTGCGCAAATGTCCCACCCCCAAATTCTGTAAAGAAAAGGAAAAAAAAGGAAAAATGAGCTAAAGAAAAGGGAAAAATAAAGCTACATAAAGGAAGAATTAGCTAAAGAACTGAATATCTTTTTAAAATATAAGTCGTTGTGAAAAAGGAATTGAGAAAGATTAGGTGATTTTTAAAATATTTAGAAAATGAGCAATCAATTAGAAAGATTAATCAATTAGAGGGACCTAAAACTATAAGTGTACTATAGAAAACTATGTACGCAATCTATAGATTTATAGATTTTCATGTAACAATGATGGACGAGTTTGGAGCTTCATTAGGGCGTCGAGCGGAGAGAACGATTGACGGGCAATCGGTTGAGAGAGAGCTTCCTAAAAGAGCTTCCTAAGATGCGATTCAAGATACTGTAGTCTTTTGTTGATTTAACTCTGTCTGGAAGCGGTTCTCTTATCTAGATCTATACCTTAACCAGTGCTTTTGTATCTCTAGTGGCTTATGCTTTCGGAATCTGCTAGGAGAGAGCTTCTTAAATAGTGTCCAAGTAGTCTAGCCTGGCCTAGACTGGGTCTAGCCTGGCCTAGCCTGGTCTAGACTGGGTCTAGCCTGGCCTAGCCTGGTCTAGACTGGGTCTAGCCTGGCCTAGCCTGGTCTAGACTGGCCTAGCCTGGTCTAGACTGGGTCTAGCCTGGCCTAGCCTGGTCTAGACTGGGTCTAGCCTGGCCTAGCCTGGTCTAGACTGGGTCTAGCCTGAACCAGTCTGGGCCTAGCCTGGCCTAGCCTGGTCTAGACTAGACCTAGCCTGGTCTAGCCTGGGCATAGCTTGGCCTAGTCTAGACCTAACCTGGAGCATAGCCTGATTTAATAAGCCTGGTCTAGACTGGACCTAACCTGGCCTAGCTTGGGCCTAGTCTGAGGCCCAACCTAGGTTGATACAGTAGTAGCCTGTCTAGCAATAAGCGCCTGATTACTCTAACCATCGACAGGTACTGTAACTGTAACCTAACGTAACGGACAGTTAGGGTAACGACAAGTACTGTAAACTGCAACGGATAGGCCCTGCAACGTTCCCCAACTAAACAAATCATCAAAAAAGAGGCTAGCTTCAGGTCTGGCTTCTGGTGGGTCAAGTCTGCAACAATGTCAGGTCAACGGTCAGACTTGACAGACTCAGGGCAGACTGCCTTCTATAGCCTGAAGCTAGCTCAGAATCTAACCCGGAAAAATGATTTTCGAACAGCAGCTCTGGTACCCCAGTAGTTCGAAAACTCTTCCTTTGTTGGATACCGTACGGCTTAATTGGCTAACAATAGGCACAACACTAGAAAAGTCGTAAACACTCGCACAAACCTTAATTGGTAATCGCTGCAGCCCGATCTCTTTTCCATTTTGCCACGGCCAGTGCTCGCAAATTCGATCGGTTGGATCGTCAAAGTTTCCGCAGCGTCCAAGAATCTTTACACCTAAAAGAAAAAGTGAAATCTAATCTGAAATCTAATCTAATCTTTCTTCAAACCTTCTCGATAAACTTTCATCATGTAGGGGACAAGGGTTTCATTCCAAAGCTCGATAAACCAAGCTCGACTTTGCTCAACATCCAATGGACACTGCAGGAAGACTCGAGCTCCGACTGTTGCATCGAGTGAGTTTGACTAAAAAAAGGATACCGTAAATACTGTAATAGTGCCCCATCCCCCTCGTACAGTCGCGTAGTCGTAGTTTTTAGTATTTCATTGTTTTTCAAAGCACCCGTACTTTCAAAAAATGCGTCTTTAGTATCAAAAAATAGCCCTGAATTTCAGCTATTTTTTGATACTAAAGCGAGCATTTTAGCCTAAACCAGTGTCGAGAAAAATGCGTCAGAAATCTCTTTCTAGATGTGTCAAAAATCGAGATTGCTCGAGAGAGGCTTCAGCTGATTTAAGAGCTTGTAAAATGATTTTTATAATCTTAATTGGGAAAGGTTTTATAGAAAAATGTAGCCAAGATTAAGGGCTTTATGTTTCTGTCGAACAGTTAGTACTTTGGTAATGGGTAAAGCGTTTGGTAGCTACCAAAACTTTTACAACTTTTCGAAAAATGGTGTAATGGTTATTAGCTGCATTGAAACCTTTGCCTTATTTAACTAGTTAAATTGATTGAGCTAGTCTGATTGACCTCAAACTGATTGACCTGGTTAAACTGATTGAACTAGTTAAACTGAATGAACTAGTTAGGCTGATTGAACTAGTTAAGTTGATAGAACTAGTTAAACTGAATGAACTAGTTAAACTGATTGAACTAGTTCTGAATGAACTAGTTAAACTGATTGAACTAGTTAAACTGAATGAACTAGTTAGGCTGATTGAATTAGTTCTGAATGAACTATTGGGTTGGGGACTATGACTCGGCGCCGAAAATCAAAAAAATGTCTAAAACTTCTATTCGACTTCGTCAAATAATATGCGTTTGATATGAGTAGAATGGTTAACTAATTCTCTACAAAACGACATTTAAAAGAAAACTCAAACATCGTCTCAGCTCAAGAAAAGGTCATCTTTCCACAAAAACTACAAATTGTCATCTAGAAAAAACCATTGGTGGGATCTTCCTGCAAATTTGGCAACTTAAGTAATTGAATGTGCTCTATCTTTTTTATATAAACACCAAAGAAGGTTTATGTGAAAGAAACTGTTCAAATGGATGAGTCGGACTCTTTGCCATTTTGACTAGCTGTGTTTGGGAGTCCATAAACTCCACGAAAGAAAAGCTTTGTGGAATCTCTCAAAAGTGATTTTGTAGAGAAATAGTGGATCCTTTTGATGAAACCAAACGTATGTTTAAAGAAGGCTTTATGTGTGCAAAAAGTCCCTTTAAAGTTTGGCGCCGAGTCATAGTCCCCAACCCAATAGTTAAACTGATTGAACTAGTTAAGTTGATAGAACTAGTTAAACTGATTGAACTAGTTAAGTTGATAGAACTAGTTAAACTGAATGAACTAGTTAAACTGAATGAACTAGTTAGGCTGATTGAACTAGTTCTGAATGAACTAGTTAAACTGATTGACCTGGTTAAACTGATTGAACTAGTTAAACTGATTGATTGATTAAACTGCTTTGACTAGTTAAACTAGTCCAACTGATTTACCTTTAAAGCTTAAAGCCTAATAATGTTCTAGATTTAAAACCAACCCGCTCAATGAACTCGTTGATTGCTGAAAGAACAATCGAGAAGAAGTCAACGATTCGCTGAATTTCTGTTGGGATTACCCGATTCGTTCGGTATTCAGTGTCGATGATTCTTCGGCGAAGATATCTAGAAAATGAACAAAACTATATAATCAACAATCTATATAATCAACAATCTACAAAAACTTCAACTACTTTTCCAGCAAACAGTATAGGTTTAGAGCTAACAGTATAGGGTTTAGAAAGTCCTTTTTAGTAGTCCAAAATCATAGAAACTCGGCAAACATTCATTCTCTATTGGATGTTTTGAAATTGATGATAAATAGACGTACATTTACGTAGATTAGAAGTAGTAGATTAGAAGTTTTATGGTATGAGCGTAAATCTTTGAACAGATTACTGTAATTTCTTCTACGAAAGCTCTTTTCTGACATTCACAAGTGTCTAGAAAGTGTCCGAATCTTTGAATCGCTTTATATACGACTCGTTTTAAAGATAGTCAACCGTTCAAGTGATTTGGTCGTAAATTCCCTCGGCAAGTAAAGATATCGTATTTTCTCTGATAATATTTTCCCCGCCTAGCCGAGTTGGTGACTATTTTACAGTTTCAAAGCTTCCACAGAAGCTCAACACTCAAATCACTAGGTCTCATCGTCACAAGTGAATTCAATTTACTTGACGTCTAAAAACGATTACTCGTAGTTAATAGCTATCGATCAAAATCGACCTAATCGAGTAAAGATTACTCATGGGAATTTTGAATTGAGTTATTTTACTTATCGATACCGTAACGAGCTTTTCCTTTTCCTTTTCCTTTTCCTTTTCCTTTTCCTTTTCCTTTTCCTTTTCCTTTACCTTTTCCTTTTCCTTTTCCTTTACCTTTTCCTTTTCCTTTTCCTTTTCCTTTCCTTTCCTTTTCCTTTTCCTTTTCCTTTCCTTTTCCCTTCCTTTCCTTTCCTTTTCCTTTCCTTTCCTTTTCCTTTTCCTTTTCCTTTTCCTTTACCTTTTCCTTTTCCTTTTCCTTTCCTTTTCCTTTTCCTTTTCCTTTTCCTTTTCCTTTTCCTTTTCCTTTTCCTTTACCTTTTCCTTTTCCTTTTCCTTTACCTTGCCATATATCCATTTACTGCTTCCATTTTGTTCGTTAAAAGGAAAATCTTGAAATTGTGCTGTAGTTGCATTTGCATTTCCGAGAGCTGACAAGCGCGATTGATTGTGCAAATGATGTAAGGGCCCTGGAAATGGGAAATCGATCATATTACGAATTGACACTTTCTGCTTGACTTGCTTGACTTTCGAATTGACACTTTCTGGTAAAGGTAAAAACTTTTTGTGAGCTTCCAGATTATATAAATCTTACAAAATCGAGTATTGAGATTCATAAGCTGAAATCAAAAGCTGTCAAATATGCTTGCAAAGGCGTAAAGATTAAATTCGAGTTTCAAAACTTTAAAGATTTAGGTTACAATGAGCAGAACGGGTAAAAACCTGTAAAGTATCGTTCTCCTTTCATAAATGTTAACATTTAACCTTTTTCTTTATAGTTCTATTGAATAGTTACAAGGTAAAGTATTAAATCTAAAGAAAAAAAAACTCAAAAACCAAGCGAAGGATCGAACCCCGATCCCTTGACCTAGAGACAAGGAATCAAATTTAGAGAGATAAGGAATCAAATTTAGAGAGATAAGGAATCAAATTTAGAGAGATAAGGAAGAGGCCGTTCCACTATCCACGAGACCAGCAGTGCATATTGGGTTGGGGACTATGACTCGGCGCCAAACTTTAAAGGGACTTTTTGCACACATAAAGCCTTCTTTAAACATACGTTTGGTTTCATCAAAAGGATCCACTATTTCTCTACAAAATCACTTTTGAGAGATTCCACAAAGCTTTTCTTTCGTGGAGTTTATGGACTCCCAAACACAGCTAGTCAAAATGGCAAAGAGCCCGACTCATCCATTTGAACAGTTTCTTTCACATAAACCTTCTTTGGTGTTTATATAAAAAAGATAGAGCACATTCAATTACTTAAGTTGCCAAATTTGCAGGAAGATCCCACCAATGGTTTTTTCTAGATGACAGTTTGTAGTTTTTGTGGAAAGATGACCTTTTCTTGAGCTGAGACGATGTTTGAGTTTTCTTTTAAATGTCATTTTGTAGAGAATTAGTTAACCATTCTACTCATATCAAACGCATATTATTTGACGAAGTCGAATAGAAGTTTTAGACATTTTTTTGATTTTCGGCGCCGACTCATTCTCCCCAACCCAATAGATTGCAATCATTGAAAAGCGCTCTTTAAAGCTTCAATCGTTTACTTCAATTTTCTTCAATTCTTGAAAGTTCTTTAAGGTTTCGAAATTTCAATTTAATCTTTACGCCTTTGCAAGCTTATTTGACAGCTTTTGATTTCAGATCATGAATCCCCATACTCGATTTAGTAAGATTTAAATGTAATCCAGAAAAGAAAGCTCACAAAAAGCTCGTGCCTTTACCCTAGTTGCTTACAGTTACAATAGTTTTAAAGCCTTTTACCTGACTTTAATCTCTAATAAATACCTGCTCTGTCGAGAGTTGAATCGAGTCAAAAACCGAGGAAACAAAGGATATCCTTGACTTGGGAATGTTGTCAAGAAGAAGCACGGAATCGGAGCCTCGTAAAGCTTTCTCAAGATCTCTTTCCACCTGGGAACAACAATCAATTTATAGATTTAATAATGTTTTTACATACTTGCACAAGTTGTTTATCTTTGCCATCATCGGGAATTTTGACCTCGATCACTGAATCCGGCGCACGACCAGCTCGAATCGAGAGATAAGCACAAAGTTGACGAGCCAAATTCGACTTTCCAATCCCTAGAAAAGGTGGATTTTAGCTTGAAAAGCTTTAAAAAGCTTTAAAAAAAGCTTTAAAGGCTTTTAAAGCTTTAAAAAGCCTTTAAAAAAGCCTTAAAAGCCTTAAAAAAGAATAAAGAATAAAGGCTTTTAAAGCTTTTAAAGCCTTAAAAAAAGCTTTAAAAGCCTTAAAAAGCCTTTAAAAAGCCTTAAAAGCCTTAAAAAAGAATATTTTACTTTATAAAATAGATTCTATTACTCTAAATTAATAAATTAATCAATAGAAATGACTTTAAAGTTGATTTTTTGATGAGAATTAATGAAAATAAAAAGTTTTCTCTAGTTTTTCTCATTTTTTTAATGATTTACCTATTAGAACTTTGATTCTAAGTTAAAGAAAATAAAATTCTTTATTTAATTCTTTATTTAATTGTACTTTTTGAAGTCTTCTATCTTCATCTTGTCCTAAAAAAAGTCAAAATCCGAATCAAGTACTTTAAAAAAAGTTTCAATGAAGTTTTTTAAGACGAATTTTTTGATCCTCTATTTAAGCTAATCAAAAATAAGCTTGTAAATGATTTTCTTATATGAAGGTGTGAATTAAAGGTGTGAATTTTCCACTCTTTAATGTCTGACCAGTTGCTCCAGAGAGAACGAGTCGTCGATGGGTGACGATGTGCTTCAAGAGTTGATCGAGAAGTGAGCGCGGGAAGAGGCACTCAAGAATCAGGGAATCCACAGCTGATTGACAGGCGCCTAAAGGGATTCAAATATGACAGAATTTAGAGTTTATTTACTATGATCAGATTGTTTGTCTTAGTTTGTTTTATAGGTTGTTTTGTAGTTTGTTTTGTACTTTGTTTTATAGTTTGTTTTATAGTTTGTTTTATAGTTTGTTTTGTACTTTGTTTTATAGTTTGTTGTATAGTTTGTTTTATAGTTTGTTTTATAGTTTGTTGTATAGTTTGTTTTATAGTTTGTTGTATAGTTTGTTTTGTAGTTTGCTTTATAGTTTGTTTTGTACTTTGTTTTATAGTTTGTGGTATAGTTTGTGGTATAGTTTGTTTTATAGTTTTATTTATAGGTTGCTTTATAGTTTGTTTTATAGCTTGCTTTATAGTTTGTTTTATAGTTTGTTTTGTAGTTTGCTTTATAGTTTGTTTTGTAGTTTGTCGTATAGTTTGTTTTGTACTTTGTTTTATAGTTTGTTTTGTAGTTTGTTGTATAGTTTGTTTTATAGTTTGTGGTATAGTTTGTTTTATAGTTTGTGGTATAGTTTGTTTTATAGTTTCTTTTATAGTTTCTTTTATAGTTTGTTCTATAGTTTGTTCCATAGTTTCTTTTATAGTTTTATTTATAGTTTTTATACTATAATGTTATCAAATATTCAGTTTTTTGTAATGTCTTTAAGCGCTATGCAATAGTGACTCTGGAAATTGATTGAAATAGCTAGAGAGTCGATTGGAGAAGGCTAAGGATGAGGGGATTCTTGAGAATGGATTTAGAACTTTAGAACTTTCAGATGTTTACTTTCCTGTAACTACTGTAAACATTAGCTTTCTATTCTGTAACTACTGTAAATAGAAAGCTAATGTTTACAAATGTAACTATTACAAAGCTAATGTAACTACCGTAAACTGTAGCTACTTGTACTGTGACTACTGTAAACTGTAGCTTTCTGCTTACTGTAACTACTGTAAACTGTAGCTTTCTATTTACTGTAACTACTGTAAACTGTAGCTACTTGTACTGTAACTACTGTAAACTATAGCTTTCTATTTCCAGTAACTAATAAATCTAATAGTATTGAGCTTTCGAAAGAAACGAAAACCATGCCAGAGTTATACGAGCTTTGTTCTGTCTTCTTTGACCTGGCTAACAGAAAAGAACAATTTCAGAGTTCAATATTCAAAAGTACAGATAATATTTAGATAATTATCTACAAATCTCTATTTATTTAAAGGTTTACCTCTCAAAAAAAGCCGAATCGTCGTTGTTGTTGTGATGACTTGTGAGGGCGGAATCGAGGACTCTTTTGAGCCACGTTCTAAAAGATATTCAGTTAATCAAAGCTAATCAAAGCTAATCAAAGCTAATAAAAGCTAATAAAAGTTAATAAGAGCTAATAAAAGCTAATGAAAGCTAATAAAAGCTAATAAAATCTAATAAAAGCTAATCAAAGCCAATAAAAGCTAATAAAAGTTAATAAAGCTAATCAAAGCTAATAAAAGCTAATAAAAGCTAATGAAAGCTAATGAAAGCTAATGAAAGCTAATGAAAGCTAATAAAAGCTAATAAAAGCTAATAAAAGCTAATAAAAGCTAATAAAAGCTAATCAAAGCCAATAAAAGCTAATGAAAGCTAATCAAAGCTAATAAAACCTAATAAAACCTAATAAAACCTATAATCTTAGCTATAAAGCAATATTTCTCATTTCCAGTACCCCTACTAATTTTCCCAATCGTGTAGCCGATGACACTCTCCGAGCAATGCAATCCAAGGTGGTGATCGGGATCGATTCGACAGAGGTAAGCCTAAGATAATTGGTTTGGATTGGATTACTGTATCTGTAGCTGTAGCTGGATTACTGTAGCTAAACACTGTAACAATATCGTTCCTTGTTTAGGCAACTTACATCGAAAAGAGCATAAATTTGCGCGTCAAGTTGATCCCAGCGAGTCTCTCGCTCGGGTAGAGCTGCAAAATGAGATTTTATCTTTTTCCGTTACCTTTTTTTTTTGTCTTTTTCTCCACATCAACTTTTCTATTTTATCTATTTTGATTCTCATTTGATTCAGAATAAAATTTCGTATCGAATAAAACAAAAATCAGCTTCAAATTTAATACCGTATTTTCTCTAATAGTAGTTAGCTTGAGCATTGCCTAAATTCCCTTGAGATCTCGAGAACCGCTTATCAGAACCTATCGATGTGTGTGTCGGAAAAAGGTAGGTGACGATGAGATCTAGTAAAGGATTTGAGTATTGAGCTTCTGTGAAAGCTTTGAAAGTCGAAGGGGATCGAAGCGCGACCATACGACCGAGAGGCCGTTACACTATCCACTAGGCCATCAGTATATTCCAGTGATTGAAAAGCACCCTTTATATAGTTAGCATCGATATAATGAACCTAAAACGTGCCATAGACGGTCACTGATTGCATTTGACTGGGGCGGCTACGCAGAAATTTTGATCACGTTTTAGAATTTCAAATTTTTTGTATCGAAGTTTGTTACCGTATTTTCTCTAATAGTAGTTAGCTTGAGCATTGCCTAAATTCCTTGAAATCTCGAGAACCACTTATTAGAACCTATCGATGTGGGTCGGAAAATCTAGCTGACGATGAGATCTAGTAAAGGATTTGAGTGTTGAGCTTCTGTGAAAGCTTTAAAAGTGTAAAATACTCGGCTCCAACTCCAACCAACCCTAAGCATTGCCTAAATTCCTTGAAATCTCGAGAACCGCTTATTAGAACCTATCGATGTGGGATCGGAAAATGTAGGTGACGATGAGATCTAATAAAGGATTTGAGTGTTGAGCTTCTGCAAAAGCTTGGAAACCGTAAAATCGTCATCAACTCGGCTTGCTGGGGTGCACTACTATTAGAGAAAATACGGTATCCATGTAAAGTTATGACCTCTATTGCTCTAACCAGTTAAGCTATTCGGTATCTTAACTTGACAACAGAAAGAAGGAAAATAAGGCGGAAGAAGAAAGGAAGAAGAAAGGAAGAAGAAAGGAAGAGAAAAGGAAGAGAAAAGGAAGAAAGAAAGGAAGAAACTCTAGAGAAAAGAAGAAAGAAATGAAAAGGAAAAATTGCTTTAACCATTGAGCTATTTGGTGCCTTAGCTTGACAAGAGAAAGAGGGAAGATAAGGCGGAAGAAGAAAGGAAGAAGAAAGGAAGAAGCTAAACAGTTAAACTTTAACTTACTCAAATATCCAATCGTTATCTCGTGCTCAGGACAAACAGCAATCGGAATTGAACCAGTCAAATCAACATTGACAACGACTTTCACCGAATTTTGACAACCAGATGATCCTAGAATCGATTTCTAATTTTTATAGCTTAAAAGTAGAATCAATAAATCGTTCTAATAGATCTAATAGATCTAACTGACGTTTACTACTCGAGCTAGTCGATCGATCAGTTTGTAAGTGCTCGTAGAGGTGTTCATCATCGAGTAGAGAGGATTTCGATGAGGTACGAGAGCGTCCTGTGTACACCAATCGCGACATATCAGCTCGAAGTTGTTTATTCTCATGCTAAATCCTTTTATTCTACCATTACAAGCGTTTTGAAAGGTTTAATTCGAAGCAACCCTGACCTTAAGCCGATTGACCGTCTCTCGTAACTGGTCCACTTCACGAGCACAATCAAGAGCATCAAGTCGAACCTAAGAAAAGTTTTGGTATTGAAATGACCTTTAGAGATAGATAAATCGCTATAAAGCATTTATAAAGCTATAAAGCCAGCTATAAAGCTATAAAGCCAGCTATAAAGCCAGCTATAAAGCCAGCTATAAAGCCAGCTATAAAGCCAGCTATAAAGTCAGCTATAAAGCTATAAAGCCAGCTATAAAGCTATAAAGCCAGCTATAAAGCTATAAAGCCAGCTATAAAGCCAGCTATAAAGCCAGCTATAAAGCTATCAAGCCAGCTATAAAGCCGGCTATAAAGCCAGCTATAAAGCCAGCTATAAAGCCAGCTATAAAGCCAGCTATAAAGCCAGCTATAAAGTCAGCTATAAAGCCAGCTATAAAGTCAGCTATAAAGCTATAAAGCCAGCTATAAAGCCTCTTCTTACATCAGTCAATGTATGATCTCTGTCCTGAAGTTGTCGCTTTAGCTCGACCACTGTTGCCACAGAGCCCAGCTCATTAAGACTGAAATTTGGATGTTAAATAAAGAAACTAAATGCTAATTAAAGTATTGAATGACTTATTACTCTACTACATAATAAAAAGTCGATTTCTATCAATTTCTATCGATTTCTATCGATTTCTATCGATTTCTATCGTCGATTTCTAGTTTCCCATCGTTCCTTCTCGATTCTGATTCAATGCATCTATCATTTTCTCTCTAATAGTAGCATTTTTCTGCCAGGAACTGCGAAATTTCGCTAATTTCGCTAATTTCGCTAATAATTGATCGCTTTTCTTTTCTCTAAGATTTTCTTTATTAAGAACAAATGATCGTAAATAACAGGGAAAGAGCATCATCATGCATCAGCAACGTTAATCGATCAATTGATTATCGTAATTTACTGTATTATTAAATAAATTTACTTTGAATTCGACGCGTTTATCGTGTTTAACGGGTGATGCATCGGCGATCCGTCCGAATCCGATAAACCGCCGTTTTTCGAGTTTTTCTTTCTCGTAAACGCCTTCGAAAAAGAGCTTCGGATCTGGAATTTGGAATTGAAATCGGTATTTACCGTTGAATTTGGTATTTATCGTTGAATAGAGGAGATTTGAGGCCTTCGAATGATATCAGTTTACTGGTTCGTTTGACTGGTTGGCTTCGAGAGCTTATAACTTTGTCTAGGGATTATATTATTCTTAACTCTTTATGTCGTTGGAAAGAGGAGATTTCAAGCTTTCGAATGATACTAAAATGAGCTTGATTTGACTGGGAAATCATAGGGAAAATTGATCTTAAAAAATTTGAGTAGTGATACTAAAAGGCTGATTTTCGGGGCCTGATTTTTGGGCTTTTTTTCAATCGAATCATACTCTTTTTGGTATCATTTGAAAGCCTGAAATCTCCTCTATTTAATGATATAAAAAGTTAAGGATAATATTATTTCTGATTCGACTAAAAGATCACAGGGAAAATTGATCTCAAAAATTTGGGCAGGGACCCCGGGATAAATTTGCTCCCACTTTGAGAGCTCATAACTTTGCTTAGAACTTATATTTGTCTTAGCTTTTTATATCATTGAAAAGAGGAGATTTCAGGCTTTTGAACAATACTAGACATGGCCTTATTCAACTAAAAGATCTAGGGGAAAATTGCTCTAAAAGTTTCGGACACTTTCTAGACACTTGTGAATGTCAGAGAAGAGCTTTCGTAGAAGATATTACAGTAATCTGTGCATTCAAATATTCACTCAAATCAAATTTTCATTCATTTTCCATTCAACTTTCCATTTAAATCAAAATTTTCATTCAATTTCTATTCAATTTCTATTCAATTTCCATTCAATTTCTATTCAACTTTCCATTTAAATTCAAACCACAGTCAATCTAGCTACAGAGCTGAAATCTAAGAAAAGTTTAGGTTAACTTTTCCCTAAATTAGGTATCATTTAGAAAAGCTAAACGCCGTGGGGGGAGACGACAGAGAGGAAGAAAGCGGACGCCCGAAATTTGAACCCAACCATACACAAAACCCACGCCCAACCCTAAAAATCACTTAGCTAAACCCTTTAGCATACTGTAGCTAGAGAAAACTGGTTTCCTTTAAGGAAATGTTTCCTCTAATCGGGCACTGTAGTGTACTAAAGTACTGCAGTGTTCTAAAGGACTGCAGTGTACTAAGGTACTACAGTGTACTAAAGGACTGTAGTGTACTAAAGTACTACAGTGTACTAAAGTACTGCAGTGTACTCAGCGAAAGGTTTCTGTACAATTTCGGGTACTATCATTGTCTAGAGACTTCTGTATTCCCTAAATTAGGCATCATTTCGAAAGCTGGTTATCTAATTTAGCTAATCTTTAGCATACTGTAGCTAGAGAAAGCTGGGTTTCTTTTTAAAATAAAAGAAAAACGAATCACAAAACGAATGAACGCTTTCACAAACGACTTTATTTTACCTGAATGTCCATTCCGGGCACCTGAATGTGATTTTTGATGATTTTTGATGATTTTTGATGTTGATTTGAATAAAGTTTAGAAGAAATTAGATGAGAAAAGATAGTATTCAATAGAATAGAGATTTTTTGCACTTACCCAGCTCTTTTTCCCCTTGCTGTTGAAGCTGTTCAACGAGCTTTTGTCGGTTTTTGAACTTTTCGATGATGAAGACATTGATGAGCTTAAAAAAAGAACGATTTTAACGATTTTAACGATTTTAACGATTGATTTAGATTTTTATGACTGTAATTAGTAATGGGCGTAGTTAACTAGCTTACTTTATACGCTTTCTAGCGAAATAGCATTCGTTAGCATTCGTTTAGTGTACGAGAAAGCACAAAGTACGATCCTGGGATGTTTAGAGAAAAAAAACTTGATATCTTAATATCTTAATATCTAGAGATCTAGATTTCTAGATAATTAAATAATAAAAGAAACTAGACAAGTTGAAAAGTTTACGGTACTTCTAATGCTTTTTAGAAAACTTACCGATGTGAGGCGACACTTTCCAACGATGGATGACGCAACAGCTCGCCAGCTCCCTCCTGAAAATTTTCACCTTACTTTAAAGACTCATAAATTCATTTAGAGACAATATCATTCTGAACTTTTTGTATTTTTGAAAAGAGAAGATTTTAGGCTTTCGAATGATACTAGACCTGGCCTGATTTGATTAAAATATCATAGAAAAAATTGATCTCAAAAATTGGGCAGAGTTTTTACGATAACTTTGCCCCTACTTTGAGAGCCCATAACTTTGCTTAGAACTTGTATTAGTCTTAGCTTTTTATATTGTTGAAAAGAGGAAATTTTAGGCTTTCAAATGATACTAAAAAGAGTATGATTTGATTGAAAGAAGCCCAAAGATTAAGAGCCAAAAAAATCAAGCGTTTCATAAATTTTTTGGATCAATTTTTGAGATCAATTTTCCCTAGATCTTTTAGTCGAATCAGACCATATCTAGTGTCATTCAAAAGCCTGAAATCTCCTCTTTTCAACGATATAAAAAGTCCAGAATAATATTATGCTTAGGCAAAGTTATGAGCCCTTAAAGCACGGCTATCCATTGAAAATGCTAGTCAAGAGCTTTAGTATTTAGGATGCCTGATTAGAGTTAGCCATAAGCATCATTTAGAATCCCCGAATTCCTATCAATTTTCTGCTTTTTTATCCAATTCTTACCTTTTTCGAGTCAGCTGAGAGACGAGCGCTGAGATTGCGCAAATTCTCGATCTCTTGTTTGAGTTTCGCGAGTTCTTGGGGCTAAAAATTGTTTTTGAGAATTTCTTTGTTTTTGTTAGAGTACTTTAGAGTACTTTAGAGTACTTTCGAGTACTTTAGAGTACTTTAGAGTACTTTCGAGTACTTTAGAGTACTTTAGAGTACTTTCGAGTACTTTAGAGTACTTTAGAGTACTTTAGGAAACAGATTACTTGAGTTTTTCACTAGTTAAACTCAAAAGTTGTCTATTTGATTTGAATTGTTTCTTTAATTTTATTTGTGTATTTGATTTGTTTATTTGAATTGTTTATTTGAATTGTTTATTTGATTTGTTTGTTTGATTTGTTTATTTGATTTGATTTGTTTATTTGAATTGTTTATTTGATTTGTTTATTTGATTTGAATTGTTTATTTTAATCGTTTCTTTAATTTGATTTGTTTATTTGAATCGTTTCTTTAATTTGATTTGTTTATTTGAATTATTTATTTGCTTTCAATTGTTTATTGAATTTTTGGAATTCAACTAGAGTTGAGAATTGAAAAATGGTGCCAGTTCTGCCTCTTTCTCCATCAATTCGTCAATTTATCTTTCGCGCAATGACAGAGAAATTGGGTGGGGAGTAAAGAGAGAACTCAAAGAGTCATTTCCAATTCCCAAATCGAGAATTCACTCTTGACTTTTCTGGCTTTTCCCGTCCATTCGTGAAGGATTGATTGGCCTCTGTGGACTCATTTTGGCCTCTGTGGCCATCAATTTCCCTTCACTAACCATTTTGCATAGTTCATAAAGATTATATTAGATAATATTAGATAATTTTAGATTAATTTTAGATTAATTTTTGCTCTTTTCAAGTCTTTTAAAGTAAAATCTTCAAAAAATAGAATTCAACTTGAGCTTTTACAGCTCAAGCTCAAGCTCAAGCTCAAGCTCAAGCTCAAGCTCAAGCTCAAGCTCAAGCTCAAGCTCAAGCTCAAGCTCAAGCTCAAGCTCAAGCTCAAGCTCAAGCTCAAGCTCAAGCTCAAGCTCAAGCTCAAGCTCAAGCTTGAGCTAAAACAAGTCTAGCCAGGTCAAAGCAATTAAAAGTCTGTTAGGATCGATGTTTAGCTTGGTTTTTGCTGGATCTGGTGCCAATTTTTGATTCCTGACAGTTCAGTATTGAATCCAATACTCTATTTCAACCAGTTTACGAATTTTTCTACAGGTTTACAAGAGTTAACAACTGTCAAGTAAACCAATGTCAACTAGATAAACAAGACAGTAAGTTTAGGACAATTTAGGCTGATTGTAGCAGACAATAGGCTTTTTGTAGCAGGCTTATGGTAGCAGAGAATCTCTAGGCTGATTATAGCGGGCAATAGGCTGATTGTAGCAGGCAATCTTTAGGCTTTGTGGCAGGCAATAGGCTGATTGTAGCAGGCAATCTTTAGGCTTTGTGGCAGGCAATAGGCTGATTGTAGCAGGCAATCTTTAGGCTTTGTGGCAGGCAATAGGCTGATTGTAGCAGGCAATCTTTAGGCTTTGTGGCAGGCAATAGGCTGATTGTAGCAGGCAATCTTTAGGCTTTGTAGCAGACAATCTTTAGGCTGATTGTAGCAGACAATAGGCTTTTTCTAGCAGCCATCCTGCTTGCTGTCAAACAGTGGATATAACAAAGACACAAACTCTTAGCTAGCCCTGATCACCACTTCAAGTTATTGCAAATTCCTTGAGCTTTCCCCATCACTCACCTTTAGCTGCGCTTTCTCCATTTTGTTTCCCAAATGCGACAAACGTTGATCAACCATTTCAGCAATTTGCGAGTAATCCTCTTGCTTTCTCGTCAACTTGTTCACCGTTTTGCGATAGCCATCAAGCTCTCGATTCAGTTTTCGCAACTCGGCCTCATATTTCTCGGCTAACTAAAAGAAAGCTCTTGATCTTGAATCTCTTGATATTGAATCTCTTGATTTGCATGATCTCATTCTATTAAAGCTTTAGATTTACCGAATTATAAGCTGTCGATGAAGCAACTGATAGATTCGAGCCTCGAAAATCCGATGGTGAACCCTTTTCTCGATGAGATGGGGACCTGAGCATAGAATTAAATAATTATTAATCAATTATAATTATCCACTAGGGATAATGCAGGGATACAGTACGCTAATCGGGTACTGTAGTGTACTAAAGTACTGCAGTGTACTCAGGTTCTCTACAACAAAGGTTCTCTACAATTTCGAGTACTATCCTTTGACTAGAGACTACCATAGCCGTGTCTAGAAGTGATCTTACTTCTAGGCTTCTTCTAGGCTACTTCTAGGCTACTTCTAGCTTTGATAGATCTCTTGTACATAGTACTATGTGTACTTTCATCTTTTCAACGTACATCGTGATCTCATCGGGTATTCGATGCAGTGCATCACCACGAAAATTCGCGTACACTGCTTCTGGAGTCCGACGAGCGTATAAAGATCCTGAAATGGGTAAATAGCTAAAGAATTTGATAAATACAGTATTTGTAATTAGTTTTTAAATATATTTTCAACTTATTAGTAAGCAAAGCGAAAGAAAAAGCAACAGAGTGTTTGAGAAAGTTAAAGCAATCGTTTGAAAGAAAGCCGAAGACATGGGTACAAGTTTTTGGATTCTAAGGGTACTGTAACTTGTCTAGAGATACTGTAACTCGTCTAGGGGTACTGTAACTTGTCTAGAGGTACTGTAATTCGTCTAGAGATACTGTAACTTGTCTAGGGGTACTGTAACTTGTCTAGAGATACTGTAACTTGTCTAGGGGTACTGTAACTTGTCTAGAGATACTGTAACTTGTCTAGGGGTACTGTAACTTGTCTAGAGATACTGTAACTCGTCTAGGGGTACTGTAACTTGTCTAGAGATACTGTAACTTGTCTAGAGGTTCTGTAACTCCTCTAGGGGTTCTGTAACTCGTGTAGCTTACAATATTTAAAGAATCCTGAGTACTATGCAGAATTCTGTACTCCTTTTGTGTACTGTAGACTCTTGTCTACGATCCTGGGGTAGTGTAGAGTAACTTGATAATATCTAAGGGAATCCGGAGTACTGTAATCCCAAATATATCTACTATACGTTGGGCTGCTGTATTCGACGGGTGCCGTAGTGTACCGAAAAATTTTACTCCCGCATATCATAGCAAAAGGGAGCAATTTGGGATACTGTAGTTATCCAGAGACTACTGTAGCTAGATCTCGGAATCCTGTAGCCAAAGGGACCCAAATCTTACTGTAATACTTGTTCGTTACCCACTTATACCCATGTCTTGAGTGAAAATCATTTCATAATCTTAATAAGCGGACCGTTATGCTGTGGTGAGGCGACGGAGAGTGGCAGACGGGCAGAATGAGGGCTCGAGCCTCGAACTGGTGGTGGAGGACGATGACGATAGTGATGAGCACTCCGCGGGCTACCGTACTCCGAATTCGATGCGGTGCCAATCACTGTTCTTGAGTCTGTCGCTTTCCGATGGACACGCGGTGAGTTGGGCGCTAGCGGATCATAGAGAACCATCGATTTCGACATGCCGAACGAGGAGAGTTGCATTATTGCTAGAAAAAGCGGTCGGTGTTAGTGAAAGTACTGTAGAAAGGGTTGTTTTTGAAAACAGAGAGACGGATGAACGTTATTAGTTAGCTAATTGGTAGGCTGTTTATTAGGCTTATGAATTGTACTATAGAGTCTGTTAGTGATCTAGACTAAAGCCAGAGCATGAGCTGACGAACTCTAGTACAATGCTAGAGCTGTCCACCTCTAGTACAATGCTAGAGCTGACCTAGAGCTGGCTCACAGGTTCTAAGGCTTCTAAACTTTATCAAAGCTGCTTTGTAAGCTTTGTAAGCTGAGTTTAACCTCTGGATTCTGGGCTTATCTAACTTAGACTTGATTACATGAACTTATTTGGGTATTTCCTCTATCCTTTGTATTTCCTCTTTCTTCTCTCGCAAAAAGATCTCGAATAGCTTAGTGGTTAGAGCATTTGCTCGAAAAGTAAATAAGTACAAAGTAAAAAGGTTCAATTCCTTCTCCTAAAATTTTTCTTTGACATTTCTCTATTATCAGATTTGAATAAGTCAGGTTCATAACTCAAGGTGTTTTAGATTTAAAAACATTAAGCTTATCAAGCTTATCAAGCTTTTGAATCTTAGCTTTGAATCTTAGCTCGAATCTTAGCTTGAATCTTAGCTCGAATCTTAGCTTGAATCTTAGCTTTGAATCTTAGCTTGAATCTTAGCTCGAATCTTAGCTTGAATCTTAGCTTGAATCTTAGCTTTGAATCTTAGCTTGAATCTTAGCTTTGAATCTTAGCTTGAATCTTAGCTCGAATCTTAGCTTGAATCTTAGCTTGAATCTTAGCTTTGAATCTTAGCTTGAATCTTAGCTTGAATCTTAGCTTTGAATCTTAGCTTGAATCTTAGCTTGAATCTTAGCTTGAATGTTAGCTTGAATCTTAGCTCGAATCTTAGCTTTGAATCTTAGCTCGAATCTTAGCTTGAATCTTAGCTTGAATCTTAGCTTGAATGTTAGCTTGAATCTTAGCTCGAATCTTAGCTTTGAATCTTAGCTCGAATCTTAGCTTGAATCTTAGCTTTGAACCTTAGCTTTGAATGTTAGCTTTGAATGTTAGCTTGAATCTTAGCTTGAATCTTAGCTTGAATCTTAGCTTGAATGTTAGCTTGAATCTTAGCTCGAATCTTAGCTTTGAATCTTAGCTCGAATCTTAGCTTGAATCTTAGCTTGAATCTTAGCTTGAATGTTAGCTTGAATCTTAGCTCGAATCTTAGCTTTGAATCTTAGCTCGAATCTTAGCTTGAATCTTAGCTTTGAACCTTAGCTTTGAATGTTAGCTTTGAATGTTAGCTTGAATCTTAGCTTGAATCTTAGCTTTGAATGTTAGATTTTGAAGCCGACTTTAAACTATCATTTGGTGTTATTTAGCGACAGAGGAAGTAAACAGAGGAAGAAGAAGAAGAAAAAAAAACCAAAGAAATCACACCGTGCAACCGAGATTGGATTGGTTAGTGAGAAAGGAAGGACATAGAGAGCTTGATTGAAATGTTACCTGATACACTGTGTCGATTGTGCTGCTGGGATTCTTGGGGGATTCTTCGGGGCGAGATCAGAGCCATCGTTGATCGCTCGTCATAGACGCCCATGCTGAGATGAGATTTATGTAGTTTTTGACTTTTTCAACACACCGACTACCGTAAACCCTTGTAAAATGTGGCCCGTTTCTTGGCTTACCTCTTCGACTACCGTAATCACCTACGTAACCATCTACGTAATCATCTACGTAATAATCTACGTAACCATCTACGTAATCACCTAATCACCTAGTCTTTGCCTGGCATACAGTAGTTGAGTTAGGGTAAACGCGCGAGCACGCTTAGGTTTAGGCTTAGGCTTAGGCTTAGGTACAGGCTTAGGCTTAGGCTCAGGCCTAGGTACAGGCTTAGGCTTAGGCTTATGCCTAGGCTCAGGCTTAGACTTAGGCTTAGGCTTAGGCTTAGGCTTAGGCTTAGGCTTAGGCTTAGGTACAGGCTTAGGCTTAGGCTCAGGCCTAGGTACAGGCTTAGGCTTAGGCTTATGCCTAGGCTCAGGCTTAGACTTAGGCTTAGGCTTAGGCAGTGACTCATCGGCTGTCTCCTTAGAGGAGTTACTTGAAAAACTCAATTAAAACACACCTTTTCTAGCGCACTTTTTGTTTCTTCCTTTTTACTAGAAACAAAAGCATTTCTGGAAGAAAGCAATAAAGAATCAAGTGCACTAGAAGGTGTGTGTTTAGCAGAGTTTAGTTGTGTTGATGCTCCTACCGTTGCTCCTCTCGTTCCTGATGTTTCTGATAGATCTCTCCAAGGTGAAACTTTCGATCAAGTGAATGAAAACCGTTTGTCGAGATCCCAGGTCGATCTTGTCTTTTTGGAGTGACTCGTAGCGATGATCGAGCTTGAATTGAAAGTGTTTCACCGTCGGATGACAATGAGAGTTGTGGCACACCGCTGATTGTTTGATACTGAAATTTAGACGTTTAATAAGAGAATCTATTGATTTATGATTGTTTTTAACTATTTCAAAAGCCTCAATAATTGCTACCGTAAATACTGTAATAGTACCCCACCGCGCTCGTACAGTCGCGTAGTCGCAAAACGCGAAACACGTAGTTTTTTAGTATTTCATTGTTTTTCAAAGCACCCGTACTTTCAAAAAATGCGTCTTTGGTATCAAAAAATAGCCCTGAATTTCAGCTATTTTTTGATACCTAAACGAGCATTTTAGCATAAACCAGTGTCGAGAAACACTCGTTCAAAGCTAGACTACGAAACACTCCGCACCGTCATTATGGCGGGTGCGGTACTATTACAGTATTTAGGGTAAGTTTCGAAGATTGAAGTAGAGATTTTGACTTACTGTAAATACTGTAATAGTCCATAATAAAGCATAATGACGGTGCGGAGTGTTGCGTAGTCTAGCTTTGAACGCGTTTTTCTCGGCACTTGTTTAAGCTACAATGCTCTTTTAGGTATCAAAAAATAGCCCTGAATTTCAGCTATTTTTTGATACCTAAACGAGCATTGTAGCATAAACCAGTGTCGAGAAACACTCGTCCAAAGCTAGACTACACAACACTCCGCACCGTCATTATGGGGATGGGGTACTATTACAGTATTTACGGTAAGTGCTATGTGTAAGATGTAAATTAAATCAATTAAATCAAAGAAAATAAAAAACTTCTACAAGAACTAAATGACCGATCTATTAGATGAGGTATCTTTTCAGCTAGATCTAAAGAATAGAAAGAGATCGAAAGTCTAGAGATTTGTTATGTTGTTAGTGTGATAATGAAGGGAGATTTGAGATCTGGGAGTGGTGCGCGGCTGTCTCCTTTTGTCACATCCAAAACAATCCCCTTTAGTAAATGTTCCTCAAAAAAACTCATCAATCAAATGATCGATTTGAAAGAAACTGATGGAAAAGAAGTATTTGCTTAGAGTTTCCGAAATCCTATAGTTCTCGAAACGATGAGATTCTTGAAATCTCGAAATCCCAAACCGAAAAGATTCTCGAATGAGATTCTTGGTTAAAACCTAGCAGTTCAACTCCAGTACAATGGTTCATCATGTCAGCTGTTAGATCCAGAACAGTACTGGAGCTGACTATCTCTAGTTCAATGCTAGAGCTGACTATCTCTAGTTCAATGCTAGAGCTGACTATCTCTAGTTCAATGCTAGAGCTGACTATCTCTAGTTCAATGCTAGAGCTGACTATCTCTAGTACAATGCTGAAGTTGATCAGCTCTAGTACAATGCTGAAGTTGACCAGCTCTAGTACAATGCCAGAGTTGACCAGCTCTAGTACAATGCTGAAGTTGATCAGCTCTAGTACAATGCTGAAGTTGATCAGCTCTAGTACAATGCTGAAGTTGACCAGCTCTAGTACAATGCCAGAGTTGACCAGCTCTAGTACAATGCTGAAGTTGATCAGCTCTAGTACAATGCTGAAGTTGACCAGCTCTAGTACAATGCTGAAGTTGATCAGCTCTAGTACAATGCTGAAGTTGACCAGCTCTAGTACAATGCCAGAGTTGACCAGCTCTAGTACAATGCCAGAGTTGACCAGCTCTAGTACAATACTAGCTGAAGCCAAGCTATTGTACTAAAGCTAAACTAGTTAGGTACTATTACTATCACTAGCTGTTAACCTAAAATCTAATCCTAAAAACTTATGTTAAAAACTTATCTTAAAACAAAATCTCTAAACAAAAAGCTCAAGAATTGTATGAAATAGAGCACTTCAAGAAGGAGATTGATGGGTTGAAGAGGGGAAATTTGTGGTTTATTCATGAATTGGCTGAAAGAGAGAGCCCAATGGCCCAATTTGCTTAATTGAAACGAATCTTTAAAAGAATTTAAAAGGAGATTTGATCTTCAAAAGATCATCAAAAGATCTTGAAAAGATTTTCAAAAGATCTTCAAAAGATCTTCAAAAGATTTCCAGCTTATCTCACTTGTGGTTGACAAGCGACTCCCCGTTGACTTGTTCGGCATTGTTGCAAGAGTTGCTGGATCGAGTGTTGCTCGTGGATCCGGCGCTCGCCGATAGCTGATGAAGATGAGCGGACAGTACCTGAAAATGGGAAATTACTTGGTGATTGCTAGTTCTGTTTGTTTTGGCAGTAATTGATGAGTTGGCTGGTCGGTGGTTGGATACAAATCAGTGATCTTTCGCTTAGGAAGCTAGCTTTCTACCAATGAGCTATCAGAAGCTATGGATTGGAATCAAAATAATGCTTTATCCCTTCCTTATTTAATAGTCTACCCAAATAGCTTTTAGTTAAAAGTCCAGAAATTTCCATTTTATCTTTCCAAATAGGTGCTAAACGATGTGTGTTTCCATTTAAAAGTCCACCCCCCCCCTGGCTCCAGTGTAGTTTATGTTAATATAAGGGCTCTCATTGAAAAAGGGGGGATGCGGGCTTTATCCTTTTAACTAAATTCTATGTAATTCTATGAAATTCTATAGAAAACCGTTGCCGTTTAGCAACTTTAATTGAATATTTTTATTTTATTTTATTTGAATCGATTCAAAAGAGTATTCTTAAAGCTTTAGAGCTCTTAAGCTTTCATTTTAAAGCTTCAGAGCTCTTAAGCTTTCATTTTAAAGCTTCAGAGCTCTTAAGCTTTCATTTTAAAGCTTTATAGCTCTTAAGCTTTCATTTTAAAGCTTCAGAGCTCTTAAGCTTTCATTTTAAAGCTTTTAAGTTGTTTCAAACATGTTTTTTCATATAAAAAGTGGGAAACTCATTTGAAATTGATAATTTTACACATTTTATTCCATTTACCTTTCCCAGTTGATCTCACAAAATGACCATAGTCGCCGAGTTTTCCATACGTTGTGACGGCGGTCATTGCGTGATCGGATAGTGAACTGAAAGATTTTAAGCTTTTATTTTAAAGCCTTTCAGCTCTTAAGCTTTTATTTTAAAGCTCTTAAACTAATAAGCCTTCATTTTAAAGCTTTTAAAGCTCTTAAGCTTTCATTTTAAAGCTTTTAAAGCTCTTAAGCTTTCATTTTAAAGCTTTAAAGCTCTTAAGCTCTTAAGCTTTAAAGCTTTTAAAGCTTTAAATCATTAAAACAAATAATATTTCTATAAAATCTATAAAGTATTCAGGGTATGTGATGTAAAGAAATCAAAAAAAAAAGCCAATGTTCAAACACAAAGAAGAAAGCCCGTGCTTGGGTGGAAATGGCGAAAATGGCGAAATTTCTTTTGCCCGTTCGCCCTTTCGATTTTTCATTGAATAGATTGAGGAATTGTTGAGAATTATTATGAAATTTGGCCAAGAATTGTTATGGAAAACTTTCGAGCTACCGTTTTTCCTCAAATAAACGCCCCCTCCCTCTCGACAAACTTTAAACGTCTCGTTCTCAGCCTTCTTTTGAGCTATTTTTATGTTTAATATACCAAAATATAGAAGACATTAAGGGCTATCCTTTGGTATATTAAACATAAAAATAGTTCAAAAGGCTGAGAACGAGACGTCTAAAGTTTGTCGAGGTCGATAAACGCCCCTGCCTCTCGACAAACTTTAGACGTCTCGTTCTCAGTACCCTTTTGAGTTATTTTTATGTTTAGTATACCAAAATATAGAAGACATTAAGGGCTATCCTTTGGTATATTAAACATAAACATATCTAAAAAATAGAGCTGAGAACCAAGCGTCTAAAGTTTGTCGAGGGGGGGCGTTTATTAGAGGAAATACAGTACCAAATCTTTGGTGTGTGCATTGTGTGCTCAAAAATGGAAACACACATCGTTTAGCACACTAGCTTTCGGGAAAAGATGTAGAAATGGAAATTTCTGGACTTTAGTACTAACTAAAAAGCTATTTGGGTAGGTGGACTATTGTAAAATGGTTACTTTAATCGATTAGAGACTACATTAGAAACTAGATGCATGGAAATTACATGAGAGACATTAGACTACATTAGAAACTACATTAAAAACTAGATGCAGGATTAGAACATGGAAAACTTTACAGAATAGTTTATTTTTTCAATAGAAAATTCGTTTTTTCAGTATTTTTTGAAGAAGAAAATGAAAGAAAATCGTGTTTGGGAAGAAAAAAGAAAAAGAAAAAAGGAAATTTGAAAGAAATCGGTGAAGATCAAAGAGAGAAATCCTCGAAAGTGCAACGAATCTTTTTTGTACTGTTAGAATGAAGGAAATAGAAAGAAAATAGAAAGAAAAAGGAAAAGAAAGTAAGAAATTTGCTAAAGGAAATGGTTATTCAGGAAAGAAAAGGGAAAATTTGAGAAAAGTTGAGAAAATTTGAGAGAAACTGGAGATTTTTTGAAGATTTTAGGATACTGTAGCTCTTTAGGGTACTGTAGCTCTTATGGATACTGTAGCTCTTATGGATACTGTAGCTCTTTAGGATAATAGGCCCTTTGATACATATATCTCTTTGCATGCTGCACCTCTGGAGCTACTGTAGCTCGGTAAAGTACTGTAATTTCTGTTGCAAGTACTCTCGGAAGTAGAGTACTTATATTCAAGAGCTAAAAATCTCAATCTAAGCTTTATCTCCTCTTCCAGGGTGCCAATTCAATCAATCGGGATTTTCTAATCAATACTAGCTCGCATTCATTAATTCTGATTGATTCATTAAGTCTCATTGATTGCTTAATTCTGATTGATCTATGAATTTAAAGAGTTTTTTTATTTATTGAATAACAGAAGAAATTGATTGAATTAAATTGGAAAAATGAGAAAAATGAGAAAATGGAATTGGTGTGGGGAAACCGGGGAACTAATTGAGGCACAAAGCTTTAGAATCAGCTGAGAGATCGGAGAAAGAGTATTTGGAAATGGGGTACAACCCCTAAAAAGGTAAAAGAGGGAAAGAGAGGAATAGAGAGGGAAAGATAGACTTAGACTCTAGGGGTTAGGGTCAAGAGGCAAAAAGGAGTCTTGAAAGAGTCGGAAAGAGGGGGTGGTCCTTTGGGAGAACAAGGGGGGGCACCATTCCGGAGTCCGAGTACCCCCACCCCCATCTCTGCTAGATGAATGGGCAATGAATGAATCATCCAATCCTTTTCCCTTTCCTTTTCTCCTACATATTACCCTTTCGATGTCCACTCTTGCATAACCATTCGCTTTCCTTTCCCGGAAAGCCTCAGCTTCAGCCTAAGCCTAAGCCTTAACCTCAGCTCCAGCTTCAGCCCAGCTTCAGCCTAAGTCTAAGCCTTAACCTCAGCTCCAGCCTCAGCTCCAGCTTCAGCTTTAGCTCCAGCTCCAGCTCCAGCTCCAGCTTCAGCTTCAGCCTAAGCCTAAGCCTAAGCCTAAGCCTAAGCCTAAGCCTTAGCTTTAGCTTGAGCCTCTCCTGCTTGCACAAGAGCTTTCCTGATTTCAATTACCCGTAATAGATCTAGTTTAACTCAAGTTATTAGACTAGAAACAAAGCTATGAACAGTTTCTAGAGTTTCCTCGAAACAGATAAGTTTTTGTGTTTTGATAAATGACAAAGAGATAAATGAGGAAGAGGTCGTTTTGCTGTAGTTTAAGGAAAACTATTACTTGCTTCTTGTTCGAGATTTTTCTAACTTAGAGAACTTTGAGTGATTTAGTTTAAAATGGGTTTAGATTTAGATTTAGTTTAGTTTTAGATTCAACAAAAATTCAAATTTATTAATAATTTTTGAAAAAACGAACCTTCCGGAGACGTCGTCGGTCGAAACGTCCTCGAAATTCTCCGAAATTCCACTCGAAACCGATGAGCTGTCTTCGAAACTGGAAATTCAATGAATAGATTTAAAGAATTTAAATTGAATAGAATAGGATTAACGGTCTAGAATTGAATTGAATAAAAGGAAAAAGTCTTTCCAAAGGGTGATCTAGTGACAGTGAGAAGTGACAGTGATTCAAGGTCGATTTCTTTTCATTTTTCAATCGTTTATAAGGGATTTCTATATGGAAAATGGGAAAAAAAAGAATGAGCTTTTCAATGAGAACAACAGTAGAAGAACAGTCAGCTAAAGCTTTTCAATGAGAAGAACAGTAGAAGAACAGCCAGCTAAAGCTTCTCAATGAGAACAACAGTAGAAGAACAGCCAGCTAAAGCTTTTCAATGAGAACAACAGTAGAAGAACAGCCAGCTAAAGCTTTTCAATGAGAACAACAGTAGAAGAACAGCCAGCTAAAGCTTCTCAATGAGAACAACAGTAGAAGAACAGCCAGCTAAAGCTTTTCAATGAGAACAACAGTAGAAGAACAGCCAGCTAAAGCTTCTCAATGAGAACAACAGCCAGCCAAACAGTCAGCCAAAGCTTAGAACTATTTCTATTCTAGAGATGTCTCTAAATTACTCAAATCTTTTTTGAGAAAAGAAAAGTGTTTGTTATGACTGGGGAAATTGATGTAAAAATCAAGAAATCAGAAAGAGAAAGGTGTCAAAATGCGTAGATTTGAGTGATTTAGAGATATCTCTATCATAGAAATAGTTCTAAGCTTTTGGCTGGCTGTTTGGCTAGCTGTTGTTTTACTTTCTAACTTTCTAAACTTTCTAACCTTTAATTTAACAGCTTTTTAAATCAATTCTCTTAATGAAAAAACAAAGAAACAAATCAAATCTAATATGGAAACCTTATAGAAAATCTTTTTAGAAATTTATGGCTTCAAAAAACTGGCTTGATAACTTTTTGAATGGAATTAAGAGATTTTTTGGAGATTTTGAGGGATTTCGAAGCCCGAAATCCTTCAAAATCCTCTTTTTTTTTGAAGAAAACAACTCCATATCGACATCCTGATTTGCTCTTGAAAAAAAGAAGAAACGCATCCTTTCTACTGCACTGAATTTAAGTTAGAGAAGTGCAAGAAATTGGAAAGACTTTACGAGTTTAATTCTTAAATTTCAAAGTTATTGGGTTTGTTTTTGGTCTATAAAACTTTGAAAAACGATTCAATTCTTTAAGAAAACCCTTAGAAAATTCGTAAATTGAGGAAAAGCTTAAGAAAAAACAAAGAAACAAACCAAATCTAATAGGGAAAACTTATAGAACCTTATAGAAAACCTATAGAACTTTATAGAAAACCTATAGAACCTTATGGAAAACCTATAAAACCTTATGGAAAACCTATAGAACCTTATGAAAAACCTATAGAACCTTATGAAAAACCTATAAAACCTTATAGAAAACCTATAGAACTTTATAGAAAACCTATAGAACCTTATCGAAAACCTATAAAACCTTATAGAAAACCTATAGAACTTTATAGAAAACCTATAAAATCTTATAGAAAACCTATAGAACCTTATAGAAAACCTATAAAACCTTCTAGAAAACCTATAGAACTTTATAGAAAACCTACAGAACCTTCTAGAAAACCTATAGAACCTTATAGAAAATCTTCTTAGAAATTTATGGCTTCAAAAAACTGGCTTGATAACTTTTTGAATGGAATTAAGAGATTTTTTGGAGATTTAGAGGGATTTCGAAGCCCGAAATCCTTCAAAATCCTCTTTTTTTTTGAAGAAAACAACTCCATATCGACATCCTGATTTGCTCTTGAAAAAACGAAGAAACGCATCATTTCTATTGCACTGAATTTCTTGTTTTCTAACAAAAAACCTCATGGACTTTGTGCTCTTGCATGAACGCGCGTTTTCTGGCATCCTCTAAAGTCAGAGCTTGCGCTGAAGTTTGCAAGAAAGCGTTGAAAAATCGAAAAGTCTTAAAACGTCTACCCGTTTGTACTTTGTGCTTGGGTAAACACACGTTTTCTAGTGCACTGAAAGCTTTAATTTTCTGAAAAAAAAAGAAAATTGAAGAATCTAGTGTGCTAGAAGCCTTTTTTTGAGCACAAAGTACACAAAGAACCCTATTTCGTGAAGGATTCAGTGCACTAGAAAGCCCGCGTTTACGCAACTTTCAAAAGTGGCACTTGAAAACTGGTAGTTTATTGTAGTTTAATGCCAAAAAAAGCCAACAAATTCAATTTAAGTGTAAATTAAAAGACTAGAAAAGATGAAAACGTGTAAATTTTATCTAATTTTCAAGAGGAAGGAGGAAAGTTGTCAAAAAATTTCCCCTCAAATTTCACTGCGTTCTGATAGGCTTATAAGGGTGGGGCTTAGTGAGGGAAATGAATGAATGAAAGAGAAAGAAAGAGAAAGAAGAAGGAGAGGAAGAAAGAGAGGAAGAAGGAGAGGAAGAAAGAAGAAGGAGAAGAAGAAGAAGAAGGAGAAGAAGAAGAAGAAAGAAGAAGGAGAGGAAGAAAGAAGAAGGAGAGGAAGAAGGAGAGGAAGAAAGAGAGGAAGAAGGAGAGGAAGAAAGAAGAAGGAGAAGAAGAAGAAGAAAGAAGAAGGAGAGAAAGAAAGAAAGAAAGAAAGGAAGAAAGAAAGAGTAATTTCGGATAAACTCCCTTAGCTTTTCCACGAGCCGAACGGGCAACCGGGCGATTTTTTTTTGTTTTAAAATCTCTCTGTTCTTTTCTTATCTAGTTTTTGATTTGGCTGTGTGTTTTCTTTTCATTAAACTCTACAAAATATAACATTAAATTAGTTTATTCTTGTTTTAAACCTGTTTGAGCTTTTTTTTTTCACTCAAAATCCTTAGAAATTCCTCGATTTGAGTAAAAAAAAAACGATTTTAGAACTATTTTTATCTATTTTTAACTATTTTTATTTATTTTTATCATTTTTGCTTTTATTTTTCACCTGTTTTCCTCAGAAAAAGAGATAAAAATTTGCATAAAAAGCAAAAATCTCAAGAAAAGTTGAGAGAAAATCCGATTTTTTGCGCTTTTTTCCCTTTTTTTTGGCGGAAATCTCTTGATTTTCAAAGAAAAGGGAAAATCGCGAAAATTTTATTTAACGCCTAGAGAAAAGTTGGTTTATCATTGAGAAAAAGTTCAACAAGATAACGATGCGTATGCAAGAGATTTAGATTGAGCTAGTCTATGGTGCATCAGCAATTTTTCCCCCGTAGCTACGTAGGGTTGAATTAGTGCGGGAAATGGCACTTCTTTAAGACTTTTTAGACGCTTATGAATCTCCTTTGCACAAGCAATTGCTGATTGCTAAAAGTTTCTGAAGCTATTGCTTGGTTATGGCTAAAGATAACTTCAGAAACTGTCCTTCCGAACTCAGACTCTAGCTTTCCTTTGTTCTTCATTTTGTTCTAAATGAAATCAATTCCTAATTGATAGAGCGAATAAAATGAATACTTTGAATCAATTTTTTTTTGTCTTTGAAAGCCCCTGGGTACAAAGCTTAGAGAGAAACGAAGAATTCAACAAAGCGAGAGAAATCCAAGAGAGAAACGATCGACGAGACGTTCTTTGTGCGGTGAGGTAATCGCCAGCCATCTGGCGCATCCTCTTGATAGATAGGTGTTCTATTTTGGTTTGCAAAAACCAGTGTCGCTCTTCGGTCTCAAGGAAACTTTGCTTGGAAGATTTTGCATTGAATTTGACTCGATTTGATTGAATGTTTGCTAGACAGCTTTTGCTTTTTGTTTAACGGATGCCAAACCGATTTTATTTCAAAAGCTTTCAGCTAATCTAGGCCTAAAAGCCGCCTAAGTAAAGCCAGAATGTCAGAAATTAGATCTTATCTTGGTTTTAGTTCTTGGAACAGCTCTGGAACAGGAAACAAAACTTTAGAGCTTTAAAGCTTTAGAGTCTGTCTTGTCTGTATGTCTGTCTGTCTGTCTGTCTATCTGTCTATCTGTCTGTATGTCTGTCTATCTGTCTGTCTGTCTGTCTGTCTACCTGTCTGTCTATCTGTCTGTCTGTCTGTCTGTCTGTCTGTCTTTAGAGCTAAGAGCTAAGCTAAAAAGTAAGCCTTTCTCAGCACAGAATCTATGCAATCATCATTTTCAAACAGTTTGTTGAATTGTTAGATTCAAATCTCATTTTAAAGGTGTTGATCTCAAAAGAGTTCCCCATCTTCAGAGATTCATCGATTCTGTTTGTGCAAAAGCTATTGTTTCCTGGGGAAAGTTCCCAAAAATGGGCCAATAGATGGAAAATCCCCGTTCCGATTCAAGGGAAATGAAAAGCCTGTACAAATAAAAGAAAGGAGAAAATTTTGAAGGAAAAAGAAAGTCAAAGAGAACCGATTTGACACGTTTGCACGCAATAGCTTTCAATAGATTTTTCCCAAAAAGAAAAATCTCATTCAGATGTCAAAAATCGTTAAAGAAGGGGGAATTTGAATGAAGAAAGAGAAGAAGATGATGATGAAGAAGAAGGAGAGGAAGATGAAGAGGAAGAGGAAGAAGAAGAAGATGCTGATGATGATGAAGAAGATGAAGAAGATGGTGATGAAGAAGAAGAAGGAGAGGAAGATGAAGAGGAAGAGGAAGAAGAAGAAGATGCTGGTGATGATGAAGAAGAAGAGGAAGATAAAGAAGATGATCATGATGAAGAAGATGAAGAAGAAGAAAGAGGAAGAGGAAGAAGAAGAAGAAGAAGATGATAAAGAAGAAGAAGAAGAAAAGGAAGAGAAAAAGGAAGAGGAAGAGGAAGAAGATGATGATGATGATGATGAAGAAGAAGAAGAAGAAGAAGAGGAAGAAGGAAGATGATAAAGAAGAAGAAGAAAAGGAAGAGGAAAAGGAAGAGGAAGAGGAAGAGAAGAAGAAGATGAAGAAGAAGAAGAAAATTTGGTTTTAGAAGTCTGAAAGATGAAAACAAAGGCTTTAATTCAAAGCACATTTCGATTCACTTCATCTTATGTTTAAAAACACTGCTTAAAACAATCTTTGTCTGCCTGAATGTTAATAAGA